CTGATCAAGTGTTAACATCTGGACTGAGAAACCTGATGGTCATGACTCTTCCTGAAGCTCTTTGATCACACCAGTGTATAGATTTGCCCTTTGAATGCTGCCTTTACCTTGCCAAACCATGATTTCTTTGTTCTCTAGAGATCTTAACCCTGGTTTACATCTTTAATGTTGGTCAGCACAAAACATGGTATTATTAAACTATATAGAGGCCTTGGTACACACTTAACATAATGATTGTTTTTAATTAGTCTCTTGGTAGATCTCGCATCTCTGACAAGTTGATACCTTTAAATGTCTCTTGGTAGATCTCGCATCTCTGACAATTAAGTTGAGTGCAGGATTGGTACCTTTAAACATAATGGCAGCCTTTCAGATCATGAGCAGCTGTAACTTCAAGTACACTCAGTGTGTGCGCTTTGCAAAGCGCTTCTCTCAGACCACAAGGGGAAACTGGGGAAGTCTGATATTCTACAGGCACGTACAGGCTTCCTGATGTTCAGGAACTAGTTTCATAGTAGGCTACTCGCTTCCAAGCAAGTTCTACAGCAGCCAAGTCAGCAACAGCTTGTCAGATTCTTCAGGGTTAGAAACTGCTCAGTCCCCCAGCTTTCAAATTACAAGTAATCTCTGTATCTGAAATGTAATCAGTCACAGGGTAATGGGGCTCTAATCCGATCAGACCCATAAGAAATGCAGCTGGGCTCAGTAGGCAGAATGGCACCTCTGTCTGCTCCATTAAGCAAAAATCACTTAGGAGTTGTTTTAATGAAATATATTACAGACATGTCAGATTCAGAAAGGGTAACGACAGGGTGTTCACTTGCATATTTTTTGTCTTTATGTTTACAAGGAAGGAGATGAATACAAAGAAACAGAACTGTTGATTACTTTGGTTCCATTTAATTCCCTGGGGTTTGAGAGAATTACACGATGATAGCAGTTTTCAGTAGCCTTCATGCGAAATGTGCACCCCAGAGAGGAAGAACGTTTTACTACAATTATTGACCTGTGCAGCAAGAGTTACTGGTAAAGCCAGAAAGCGTGTTGCTGCTAAAGCTGGCAAATTGGTGGCTTTTGCAGAAATTCATGCTAGACTGTGTGCCCACTCATGCCTATTTTAAATTCTTGCGACTTGAACAAATGAACTGTCCTTGCCAACGCACTGCAGACAGCTAGATGAGAGGCAGAGTTGAACCTTTATCCTCATCATAGTTCCATGAGTAAGTGATCGTAAAGGAAAATCATTGGCACAAAGTTGCTCATTAGCTTTCGGCAAGGCTTCAGATCTGAAGCTTCCCCATCCTAAATCCAGCCTTTTTCCATGGCATGCACATAAAGCTTGTGGAGCTAAAGCACAATGTAACTAGCATTTTGATGTACAGCCTGTCTGTTGATCTGTATGGCCATAGACTCTAGCTCATGGGCCGAGAGAGGTAAGTGTGTGTCTCTGTAGAGGGAAGGATTCTGTTGTTGGGGAAACTGCCCTAACAGTTTCCAGTGGATGTATAAAGTTATGACACATTAAGGAGCTGTTCCAGCATGTTCCCCCCTGTAAGAAGTACTCGGGAGCCATTCCTTTCTGTTATACTGAGGTCGGATCTGGATGCAAAAGAATGGACTGTTTGCTTCTAGCAATATACTTGTGTCCTGTCTAGTCTCTAGTATGTGTGGCTGGCTGGCAATAATCGAGACCACTTAATCTCCCTACTTTGAGGGAGGATCCCCCACCAGTAATCCATGGAAATTGCCACTGTCAACAAGACATTTCAATCATGTATTCAGACAGCTTTTTGTCTACAGTACTTGACTAAGTATTAGGATTGTATTCAAGGCAAAGCTTACTGGTGTGAGCTGGGAGGAGGTGAAACCAGTCATACACCACCACCACCCCAGTTGGCTAACTTGCCTGAGAGCTGCTGCTTATCTTCTTATACAAAGGAAGTCAAGAAAGCACTGTGTCTCTTCCAGGAAGGAAGTTGTTCTCTTCTTGGACAGCTAAATGTAAGTAGAGAAGCAAGGCATTGCATTAGGCTGGTGGTTGTCAGCTCATTTCCTCTGGCTTCATTGGTGACACTCATGGGGTGTCTTTCTTCAGCATGTTCCCGTGGCAGGCAGTGGGACTTCAGGTTGTTTTACCACTGGGTAGGCTGCTCTGCTGACCCAGAAGGTTAGTATGAATCAGTTTGAACTCCAGATCCTTGGGCTGAATCAGTGACTACTGCGTTCCATGCCCACGTGTCTAGCTGGGTACTTATTTATTTATTTAAAATATGTTTAACCCACCTTTCTCCTTAAAAAGAACCTAGGGTGGCTTACAACAATTAAGACAGTAATTAAGATTAGTAACAACGAGTATACAATATTAAATCGATCAATGAATACAATACCAAAAATCATAAGCAACACCAAAACCCAGTCAAAATTCCACTCAGGCAGCCAGTGACTTGGGGAAAGCCTGCCTGAAGAGGAAGATCTTGGACTGCTTATGGAAGGACAGGAAAGATGGGGCCAGCCTAGCCTCCAGTGGGAGGATGTTCCAGAGTCCGGGAGCAGCCACGAAGAAGGTCCTTCTCTCCTGTATTTGTAGTGTGTAGGTGCTGTGTCTACATAGTTCCTGAAGTATCACTAAGGGATCTATCTGTCTTGCCTCTTCAGACTTTGAGCTGCCGCCAGCTACGTTTCCTGGTTTCCTTTCGACCTCTAAGGCAGCTGGAGAGGGTTGTGCTCTCCAGCTAGAGCTGTGATTCATGCTCCGAGTGATTCATTGTGCAAATGGTTTAACTGATTAGAAATTAGCTGGCTTGTTGCTCCTAGCATTCCCATAGTCTTAGCTTGGGAGTGGGAGAGGACGTACTCTTAAACAGGAGGCCGCTGAAAAGGCTACGGGGGGGGTAGGCTTTGTGCTCCCTCCGAAGGAGGCAGCAAACAAAACTCACACTCACATGCCGAAATCCGTTCTTTGGCATGCCTTGGAAAGCACGTTCCTCTGCAAAAGCAGGAACAGGGGCGCCATTGTCCAGCGTCTTGGGCAGCTGTGTGTCTTGGCACGTGCTGTAAAGCCAGCCTGCTAATATGGTTGATTCCGTCCGAGTGGGTTCCTTAGATGGCATTGTGACGGCTTTGGAAAGACCTGGCTTCAGGTAAGCTTGGCGCTTCTGCCCGGTGGTTTTGGGAGAAGCAGAAGAGTGCTTTTGGAAGGAGCCACAGCCATGAGTGCCTGGCCCTCCAAGTGTGGGGCTCCAGCTCCCATCAGCCGTAGCCAGCATCCCCAGTGGTGAGGAAGAAAGCTCTCTGTGATACTGAGGGCCATGGGTTATGCTGCTATCTCCTTCTTCACAGCCTCCTTTGTGGCTTGTTCAGAAGAAAGTGCTCTGCACTTCGTAGGAGCGCATTACATGAGAGTCACAGTGGTGCCATATACAGCATGATGTGCTGAGGCTCAGGACTCCCCTGTTCAACCATAGAAACTCCCTGGGGCTTGAGAGTAAAACCACACCTTAAATATCTCGCTTACCTTGAGAAGCATTAAAGTAGCTATGAGTTGGCGGCACACGACACACAAACTATTATACAGAATGTTAAGGGCAGGGGAAGATACTGTAATAGATTTCAAGGTGGACCTGGCGGCACACGACACACAAACTATTATACTGGATGTTAAGGGCAGGGGAAGATACTGTTTAATAGATTTCAAGGTGGACCAAAAAAAAGTTGCTTCATAGAACAATGATTATTATGATACAGAAATCCTTGTCTTCAACTGATAGGCATGGAAAGGGACTGTAGCTCAGCAGTAGAGTGGATGTGCTGGGTTCCATCCCTGGCATCCACATTAAGGCCTGGAGAAGAAGCTTGCCCCCCAAACCATACAGAACAGTTGCTGCCAGTCAGAGCTGACAATATTTGACTAAATGGACCAATGAACTCTGACTCCGGATCTTCCAGATGGTTTGAAAATGTAGAGAGACAAATTCATGGTGGATTTCTCAGAGGCTGTTGGGCATGATGGTTGCATAAAAACCACTTTGTTCTTCAGAAAGAGTGTACTTCTTAATGACAGGTATGAGGGAGCAGTCCTTAGTGGAAATCTTCCTCCATCATGTGGGACTTCCTGGCAGCTGGCCACACCTAGAAACAGGAAGTCACAAGGGTAGATGAACCTTGGATCGGATGCCGCAGAGGCGGTGGCCTTGTGTCTTTATAAGTAATAACGTTTGAACTGCACAGCTGGAAGGGGCCCCAATGGATCATGAAGTCGAGGAGGCACACTGGGGAATTGACCTCTCAACCTCTGGCTCCACAGCCACTGAGCTGTCCAGCAGTTTCCTTTGTCAACGGCTGGTCTGGGCTTAGGTTCTTCACCCATTTGTTTGTACTGATCACAGTATTTGCTGACATAGGTCTCCTCTGCCGCCACTGCCTGGCCCCACTTCTGATGCTGCCTTTCTTTCATGCTTGGAAGTGTTTATGTTTCGCTTGTCAATGATACTTTGTGGAACTCAGGCTGAGTTTCTCTGAAGTGAAAGCACGGATCAGTAAAGGATCTGTGACAGAGACCTGTTAAACTGCTTTGGGACTTGCATGCCAAAAGTTTCCCAAAGGAAGGGGGAACAAAACCTTAAGAACAGCCACCGGATCCTTGTGGAGTAGAGACCTTGTTGTATTTAGAGTCAGAGTTTAGAGATAGAATATTTGGGTTTTTAGTTTTGTTTTGTTTTTTAACCATGTAACTCTCAACTAGAATAAACGGCATAAGAAAACAGAACAGTGGTTATCTTTGTTTACACTTGTCGAGTGGTGTCTGTTGAACTGGGAGGTGGGACTTCATAACAAAGAGTACTAGCCAGCAATAATGTAAATACTGTAGTGTTATCTTCCAATCCTCCACTCTTGGCTTCAATCTCTTATTTGCCCTTTCGTTGGTATAAGATTGTCTGTAGATTAAATCTGTTTCTATGTTGGTTGTTTCACCTTCTTACCTAATATGTGGTCAAACCTAGCAGGTGCTGAGACATGACAGAGCTGCAAAATCTAGTCGAACGGTTGGAGAAAGCTGTGGGACGCTTGGAGATGATGTCCCACGGACCTGGCGTGGCCGGTAGCTGTGGAGATAGCCTTACAAAAGGTAAGATGCTTTGGCTTGAGCAGCCTCCCTTGAATTGATAGGGAATGTCCAGTTGGCTTCCTACCTAGCATCTTTTCTTGCCAGGCTAGTACAGATGGCTTACGGTAAACCAGTAAGAGTCACCGGAAGTCAATTGCCCTTCTCATCGCTTGAAAACACTGGAACATCATTATTGGGCTACTGGCTCTGTTTCTAGCCCTTTCTTGCTTTGGAGTCCAGCTCCTTCCTTTTAAAAAGATTTTTAAACCAAACTCACCAAGTGCAAGCTTTGTGCGTATAGGCATGATTATAGTAAATCTGATATAGAGTGGAACTACATGGATGTGCACACTGGAACGGCTGGGGATGTCGACCCCGAGAGAGACCCACAAAGAAAAGAACAAGGAACCGGGCCTTCTCGCCGGTTGTTCCTCAGCTGTGGAATCAGTTACCACCCCCTGTTCTCTTGATCCTTCACTGAGCATCTTCAGGAAACAGGATAAGACCTGGTTATTTTGCAGTCATTTCAAAATATTCCATCTGCAGAGCTTACCTAAACTGCTGCTACAGCCGAAACACTATAAAGTTACCACCAATTTAAATGTTTATCTGCTGTGTTGTAGTCTGCATTTTAATGGTTGTTATTTCTAATATATAAGTTACAGATGTGTTGTTTTATGTATTATGGTGATAATTTGATTTTGATTGTTTTCTGTGTTGCAAACAATCCAGAGTAGCCTTTGGCTAGATGGGTGGTATATAAAATAAAATAAGGGGGAGGTGTTGAGAGGAAGAAGGTATTTACTGCTAATGTAATTTGCAAATGCCTCAGAATCCATCCAGTGCTTCTCAGTTCTCATAAACTGCTTTCTTTTCCTCCCCACTTGACAGGAGTCGCTCAGTACGTGCAAGCTTTTGACGCACTTTTGGAGGGACCAGTAGCTGAATACCTGAAGATCAGCAAAGAGATTGGTGGAGATGTTCAAAAACATGTAAGGCTCAGCCTTTCTCTTGGGTTTTGAGAACATGGGCTTCCAGTGCTTAACCTGCAGATTTTGGAGAGCAGTCAGTCCCCCCTGGGAGTCAGGAGGATGTTTCCCTAAGAGGTGGGCATGAAACAATAAATAGGCTGCAGTAAAGAACGGACTGTGTTGCCCATTTATCGATCCCATGCGTGCATTCTGCAAAGTGGTTTCTTTGGCAGTAAATCAGAGACAAACCATATTTGGCCAGAAGTTCCCAGAGAAGGAACATGAAATGTGGTTCTGGCATAATGCCTCCCATGCGCTGGAAAAATTCTATTTCCGGTCAGAGAAATAAGCCTGATTTCAAACAAATTACACAGCCAACACTTTTGGTTCCCTATCAACTCTTTCTGACTGCTTTGAATCTCTGCCAGATTAAGAGCAATGATAATTATGATCATTTTAGAAAATGTGAGCTGGAAGGGACCCTAAGGATAATCCAGCCCATGTCAAGTAGGCCCAGGCAGGGAACTGAACTCCCCCTGTCTTCCTAAACCACGGAGCTATCCAGTAGTTCTAAGTTAACAGTTCTGAGCTATCCAGCAGTTCCAGTGATATATAGCATATCCAGTATATCAAATGATTTTCACTTCTTCATAGCCAGTTTTACCCCTCAGCAGGGCTTCATGTAGATTGGCACTCAAATATTTATTAGTCGCCTTGTAAAAGACAACTTAGTGTCCCTGCCGGTGGCTGGGCTTCTAGTGCTGTGGCTTGCTGGAGCCATTCAGCAAGTTCATTTGAATTGGGGACTCCCCACTCTATGCTTAACCTTCTGCTGGAATAACAGAGTGGCTGTGTTGGTGCTCCAAAATTTGTTCCCCATGCTTTATGCATAAAGCATTGCAGAAAACAGAAGTGTCTGTCTTTTCCTCCCCCACAACTTTCTTACCACTTCCTCCTTTTCTCTTGCAAGGATTTCTTAACCGGCCCTTGCTCCTTCCTTTCTTTTCTCAACATGTCTCCGTACCCTTGTGCACTTCTCAGTATGAGCCTGTCCACACTTTTGGGCCTGCTTTGATCCCATTTCCCCATTGCTTCTCTTTCTCCACCTTCCCTCTTGCATCATTGCGGATTTAAGGTGACAGACAAGGAACAGTGACGATGCTTAGCCATTAATATATTGTTTCAATAAGTTCGGAGAGCTTCTTGTAGATGAATGATCTTGCAAATCTTTTGAACAAATTCTGTATTAGGCTAGGGTTTTATCTCCATCATACATGGGTGAGCTGAGAATATTGTCTTTCCTAAATCTTATCCTTCCAGGAACCCTGTGAGGTAGGTTAACTAGCAAGCTTCATGGGAAGGATTTGAACCTTGGTCTTCCCAGTTTAACAACAATTGCATCACTACAGTCAGAGAAGAGGTTAGACGTGTGTCTATGAACTGCCGGTGTGTTTATTTTTTAAAACTGCTTATACTTTGCCATGCATAGCCAGTCCAGGTAGCCACCCAGAGGGCAGTGCTTTCCTACAGCCGCCACCTACTAGATCTGTCCTCTGTGGATTTAGGGCTGGGTGAGCTGTATGGAGACTTGGGCCCAAATCTTTCTGTAGATGTGGAATTCATGGGTTTTATCCTTGAGCCTATGAAACTCTCTTGGTACGGTCCATCTTGCAAGGTTGTTCGTAAGGATGCGGTAGGAGGTGGGCCAAAGGGTACCGCAGGGGCTCCCGTTTCACCCCTTGGAGAAAGGATGACAGTTCAAAAGAGGAATGAAAATAAATGTCACAGTGTTTGCCACACAAACACGTCTGGGACTGATCAAGCAGAGCTGAGTTAGTTTATGTTAGGGAAGAGCCATTTTTGCAGTTTTTAACCATATCAGGAAGAAAATAAATGCATTCCTGCAGCAGGCCTCAAATTCCTGTGCAAGCCCTTCCCTCATATCCTTAATACCTTACATTTTCAAATGTTCTGATGGTGTTTATTTTTTGTGGCTGTATCTGTTACCTTTGGATCACTGCGACAATAGAACATGTATTAGTATCATGTGCCTTATTTTTAGCTACAGTTAGTGTTCCCTTTGTTAGCATCATATTATCCCACAGTTTGTGGCAATGAGCTTATGCCCTGTCCTCTTATTTTCTTTCCCCCCCCCTCCTTCTGCACATCAAAGTCTGAAATGGTCCACGCGGGGTTAATGACAGAGCGAGCTCTTCTGGTGACGGCATCTCAGTGTCAACAACCTTCAGCGGTAAGTGGAGTAGGAAGGCGGCTGCGAAATGGAGCCCTGGATAACTAGTCCGATCCCACCCCCCCAGAGTTGGTCTCATATAAAAAGGGGATCCTGTAAGCAAAGCAAAGGCTCTTGATTCAGAAAGTCAGAATCTCCATTCTGAGTGAATTTAAGTAAAATTAATATTTCCATATGTGATATCGAATCACTCTGTTAAAGGTACATCCTGCCCAAAAGGAGGGAAACTAGGTGTGGGGGAAACTAGCTTAGACTAGAATTGCTGGGCAGAACTATGTCCAGAGATCTACTGTGCTGTTCTGTAACTTATACAATGAAAAGCAGGAATGCTTTGCACTTCGCTCCTTCTGCTGGTTTCCTCTCAGTGGAAGTGAGAACCTGCATCCAGTTGAGATTCAGAAAAAAGCACACTTCAGCTTTAAGAAGATTGCAAAACACGGTTCTAGCATATTTCTGTAGTTGTAGCAGCCAATAGAGAAGGATGGATTAGACTCCATTCCGTGCTGTGCTTGCTGTTCCAGAACAACTTCTCATCCCTGCTGAAGCCGATATCTGATCAGATCCAAGTGGTCCAGAAATTCCGGGAGAAGAACCGCGGCAGCAAACTCTTCAACCACCTCTCGGCCGTCTCCGAGAGCATCCCCGCGCTCGGCTGGGTAGCGATGGTGAGGACTCTTGAGTGCTTAGCTCTCTAAATGCGGGGCCTTTTCCCATCCCAGCTTGTCGTGAAGTTGTCTTCAAAAGCTCTGCATACTTTCCTATATGTGTCATAAGCATTACATCAGTGGCATAATTTAAACTGGAGTCCTTTTTGCCCTCTGCATGCATGCATGAAGTAGGAACCCAATACGGCATGCATTGTGTCTTTCCTTCAACTACCCGCTACTCTGAATTGGTGCCGGATGAATCCCCTCACCTTTTCTTCAGGCAAATCTGTGCCCCATCACCCAGGAAAACCTGCAAGTTGTAGTGTTGTGTGATGGAGTCGGGAGGCTTGCTTCAGCACGCACTCTAGATCACTGGTTACTCAGGAGTTTTGGACTGCAACTCCCAAAAGCCTTCACCACCAGCTGTGCTGACTGGGGTTTCTGGGAGTTGCAGTTCAAAAGCATCTGAGTAACAAAGGTTAAGAACCACTGCTCTAGATCACAGTTTCAGAGCTTTGTTAGGGAACATGTGATGTTGGGGCTCCAGATCAATCAGCCCAGCCAGCGGTGAGGGATGATGGACATAGTCATTCATCAGATCTGGAAGATCATGCTTGCTCCTGTTTTACAGTTAGTTTATGACAAAAAAGAGGGGAAAACAAAGAATAAGTTGGTAGTGTTGGTATGTCCATATTTTACACCTTTCTGTAATTTCTGAGAGTTCATCCAGTCCTTGTCCCTCCTTCTCCCCCCCCCCCCAATAGCACACAATTGTCCATCTTGAGCTTCCATTTTGTCAGCGAAAGCAGAGAAGGGAATATTGTGGGCCTTGATGTGACTGGCCTGTAGCTGCCTCAGCCCTAGCCAGCTTCTCCCCCGTTTACACCTTCAGTATATTGATCCTAAACCTCAGCCACTACATTCAGGTCATCTGTTTACCAATGTGCATGTTTTTTAATACAACCAGTGTTAAATGTGAGACTGGGTTCTGAGGTGCATTTCTCTTCTTGCAGGCCCCCAAGCCAGGTCCTTATGTGAAGGAAATGACAGACGCTGCCATGTTTTACAGCAACCGGGTCCTTAAGGAGTACAAAGATGTGTAAGTTTTGCCCCGCTCTGAAAAAAACTGTTGGAAGCTGCAGGTGGCCAGGAATTCTTGGGGTCGCTTGGATGCTTCTGATATGTAGCTACCCAGTCGAATCAGATTCCCTAAAGCTTCATCCCAGATTGTACTCATTCAGCCTCGTGGGGAAGGGGTGGGAAGGGTAAAGGGATGTGGTGGTGCTGCGGATTAAACCGCAGAAGCCTCTGAGCTGCAAAGGTGGAAGACCAGCCATCGCAAGATCAAATCCATGAGACGGAGTGAGCTCCCATCGCTTGTCCCAGCTCCTGCCAACCTAGCAGTTCGAAAGCATGTAAAAATGCGAGTAAATAAATAGGTATCAACACGGTGGGAAGGTCAAGCTGTTCCCTGTCTAGTTGCACTGGCCACGTGACCACGGAAACTGTCTATGGACAAAACGCTGGCTCTATGGCTTGGAGACAGGGATGAGCACTGCCCCGTAGAGTCGGACACGACTGGACTGTATGTTAAGGGGAACCTTCACCTTAATTCCACTTGTAGGTATTGCCACGATAACCAAGTGCTCACATTTTAGAATCAGAAGGCAGGTTCTCTGACTGCCTTTCTGTTCTAAACAGGCTGGGAGTTCTTAAGCTGGCAGAGTCGGACACGGCTGGACTAAATGTCAATAATTCCACTTGCAGGTATTGCCACAATAACCAAGTGCTCACATTTTAGAATCGGAAGGCAGGTTCTCTGACTGCCGTTCTGTTCTAAACAGGCTGGGAGTTCTTTTAAAAGAGAGTACTGAACATAATGGGGGAGATTCAAGGACCGTAGAATTGCAAATATAAAGAGCTGTTAGCTGATCCGTCATCATGGGAATGAGGGCAGATGGGCTGTGACTCTGAAAAGGAGAGAGACTCCCCGATGTAGAGCCTCAGGTGGAGGGAGGCTGGTAGTTTCATTGCTAGAAAGCTCAGAATACTCATTGTACAAAAAGTTTCACCTGCGAAGCGAAGAGGTACAGAATTAAAGGCTCCTATTGCAGCTAGCATTTCAAATATCTCTTCTCCCCCCCCCCTTTCCTAGAGATAAGAAGCATGTGGACTGGGTGAAAGCTTATCTGAGCATCTGGACAGAGCTGCAGGCGTACATTAAGGAGTATCACACTACCGGCCTCACCTGGAGCAAAACGGTGAGTGATGGGCTGCATGTTAATCTCTTTAAGTGCTGCGGTGGAGCTCCTGGCTGTATTCTTCTTCCTTAAAAATTCTGGCTTTTCTCCACCACCACCTCCTCTCCAGGGACCAATACCAACGGATAAGGAAAATGGGTCTCGGGCTCCTCACGGTGTCCCTCCACCACCGCCACCTGGCCCCCCACCCCCTCCAGCTCCTGCCCCCGTAAATTCCGGCTCTGATGACTCGGCGTCCCGCTCGGCACTCTTTGCTCAGATCAACCAGGGAGAAGGCATCACTTCTGGTGAGTGACCTGGTCAGCTCCACCACTGGAAGTCAGGATTCAGAAGTTGGGCTGTTGGTAGGGAGCCCTCTTGGGACCATTAACTGAGATCTTCTAAATTAAAAAGAAAGAAAAGAAAAAAATAGGGCCACAAAGACAGCTTCTTTCCACTTGTGTTTGAGGATCTCATGTACCTTGGTTTCCTGGGTGGTTTGAGACACTGTTGCTGCCGGCCTGGCTTTACACGTCTGGCAGCTTCAAGCGGGAAGTCAGCGAGTGTTTCTGTTCTAGGCTTGAAGCACGTGTCAGATGACATGAAGACCCACAAGAACCCAACGCTGAAGAGCCAAGGCGGCCCGATGCGAACGGGGCCAAAGCCTTTCACCGCTCCCAAGCCGGTTGGGACTGCCAACGCTTCTCAGAAGCCTGTTAAGAAGGAGCCGCCGGTGCTGGAGCTGGAAGGCAAAAAATGGAGAGTGGTGAGTGAGAAGAGGCTAGAAAGAAAAAAGAAAAAAAGGCCCTCTACAACTCGTGTCCAGGCTCCCTGAAGGACCGCCTCTCCCTATAAGGCGCCTTCTCGGCGATTAAGATCCCTGGAGGAGGACCTCCTCTCGGTCCCATGACCAGCACAAGTCCAGCTGATGGGACCAATGCTTCTAAGCTATGAAGGGGAAAAGAGTTGATAACTGCTGCATTTTGGCCATAGCCAATTTGGGCTGTAGTCTGATTTGTTTGGTAATTTTATTGGCATCCTGCTTTTCACCCAGAAATTGGGTTTAAGGAATTATTGAACTGGAAGGGGGCTCTCGTAATCTAATCCACTCCACGTTGGTGGCAGGAAATCCACGACTGAATCATCCTGACATGAGGCCATCCCTTATTTTCCATTCCACAACTGAACCGTTTTTGAACAACTTTTACAGTCTGGGAATTCTCCTTAATGATTAGTCAAAGCATTTTTTTTTCTTGCATTGTGAATCCCTTGTTTTGGATGTTTTCCTCTGAGGTAGCAGAAGTAAAACCGCTTCCCTTTCTGCATGGCGGCCGTTCCAAATTTTGAGGAAATATTTTTCCGTTTTTATGGGAACTGGTAAAGTGATTGGTAGATCAGTGTAAAATAATTTTGAAGTTTTAAAAAATGTCATTTTGTATTCAACAGACGTGTCATAGTAGACCTCTCATAGGAGAGGATTACTATTTGCAGGATTTAGAAGTACTTATTAACGCTTAAGCCTGGTGCCCAAGCATGTAGAACATTGGAGTAGCTGATTTGAAGTATTTTTGAAAAATAAGTTAACCCCCGCAACACGTCTAGGGAATGCTCAGGGAAGTCTTTAAGAATGTCTGCAGTTCCTAGTTCTGTCCAAAAAGAGTGAACAGTTAGAATAATCTTAGTGATCTTAGAACTTCAGGGCTGGAAAGGGATCTTGTGGATCATCCAGTCCAGCCCATGTCAAGGAGGCTCGGAGAGGAATCGGAGCTCCCAACCTCTGGTTCTGCCGCCAGAGGCTTAAACCATGGAGCTATCCACGAGCTGACCATCTTTTATTTTCTGTTCAGGAAAACCAAGAAAATGCCTCTAATTTGGTGATCAGTGACACCGAACTGAAGCAAGTGGCCTATGTGTACAAGTGTGTGAACAGTACACTCCACATCAAAGGCAAGATCAACTCCATCACATTGGGTATGTTCCAATTTGCTTAGGATGCATATTAAAAAGAAAGAGAAAAGCTGATGATTGTTGAGTGCCAGTTTGCTTGACACTTTATTGAAGCACAAAGAGCCTTTAAGCTTCTTGGACACACTGTTAACAGTGTGAAAGTCATATGCGCACACACACACACATATATATATATATAATTAATCTACAAATATGTTTCTGAAGTGCTCCAGATTTTGTGTCTGTTACGTATTCTTTCTCACATGCAACCCTACATAGCAGGGCGAAGGAAGCCACTGTTATTTGTCACCCAAAAACCAATTAGCAAATGGACAGCTCAGCTTAGGGTTGTTCAGCTTTATTGACACCCAGTCTGTGGGTTATAAGAGTGCCATTAATGTTTTGTTTCTCTTTTTTTCCTGTGCCTTTTTTTCTTTCTTCAGATAACTGTAGAAAACTAGGTCTCGTGTTTGATGATGTGGTGGGCATTGTTGAGATCATAAACAGCCGGGATGTTCAAGTTCAGGTAACCGTACAAAATTCATCCTCAGTGTTATTACAAGCCCTCGCCTTGTCTCTCTTGAAAGGCAGAAATTCTTCTGTTTGGGAGCAGGATTAAGTTTTTAAAAAACCTTATGGTCATAATAAAAATCATGTGACAGCAAGTCAGTTCTGATTTATGGCAACCCTTTTCACGGTTTCCAAGGTAGTGAATGCTCAGAAATGGTTTCTCTGTTCTCTTCTTCTCGGGGGCACCTTGAGACTATTGTACAGCTTGCCCAAGGTTACCCAGGCTGGCTCTTCTCCCTGGAGGCCCAGTGGGGAATTGACCTCCCAATTTCTAGCTCCACATTTGGACTTATGGTGACCTTTTTCAGGTTTTTCAAGGTAGAGAATACTCAGAATCGGTCTCTGATTCCCTTCTTCTGGGGGCAGCTTTGGGACTGTGCAGCTTGCCCAAGGCTACTCAGACTGGCTCTTCTCTCTGGAGGCCAAGGGGGGGAATCAAACTCCCAACCTCTGACTCCGCAGCCAGAGACCTCAACCACCGAGCTACCTAGCAGTTCCCTTTTGTCTGCAGGAGACCGGATTGCTAGGGGGTCTAACCATTTGACACACTTGCCTTTCTTGCCAGGTAATGGGTAAAGTGCCAACCATTTCTATCAACAAGACAGACGGTTGTCATGTCTATCTCAGCAAGAGCTCCTTGGGCTGCGAGGTTGTCAGTGCCAAGTCTTCAGAAATGAACGTCCTCATTCCCACAGACAGCGGTGACTTCGTAAGTTTCTTTTTTTTCCCCCCTGTCCCCTTGGGGGTCGCTGAGCAGTGCCAGGAGTTAGCGGTGGTCCTTAGACTGACAATCTAAGCTGGAAGGAACGGTGAACTGTACTCTTGCTGAAAGATAGACTTAAGCTGGATAGCTTTGTTAACCACTAAGCTCTTAGCTCTTTTTCCTCTGTAACATAAGTGCCAAGGTTTCTGTAGGGAGGAGTCAAGGTACTGTGCCTTAATGATTGCAGAGTGGAAATCAGGAAGAGTGCAGGGACCTGGTGCTAGTTTTCCAAGATGATCATTGCATCGCAAGATTTCTCAACTATCTGTTTTTCTGCAGCTCACCGACCTCTGGTGTATTGAGTCAGGAGTGAAGGGTTTTGGTTCTCCAAATGTTTTTGGTTTCAGGCCTTGTGTAGGATGGTCCATGATAAGGGATCATGGGTGTTGGAGTCCAAAGTACTGTATTTTTCCATGTATACTTTTGTCTAAAATCTTTAGACTAAAATTGAGGGTCATTTTATACACGAAAGTAAGCTGAGCAGAGAACAAAAACAAGTGGAGGGGAAAACAGGGATCAAAGCGATCCTGCAGCGCTTTGATCCCTTTCCCCCTACACTTGCTAAGCCCCACTTAGATTTCTTAATTTTGGATTAGAAAAGTGTGGGGCGTCTTATACATGGGGGGCATCTTATACACAGAAAAATACAGTATTTTGCAGGCCAGTGGCTCCCCACCCTGATCTGAAGTGAAACCTCCACCTTTGACAAGGAGTAGCCTGTCATTGAGAACCTGTTAATGGAATTACAGGATCGCTCTGAAAAGTTCTGTCCTTGGTTTGGTGCTGTCCTGCGGTTTTTCTGGGCCTTCCCACTTAGAAAATTCTTGGTGCTGAACTAGGTGACTGTTTGGCCTGATCCTGCTTGCTGTACATTTTTAAAAGTGTTACCCTTGTATAGAGAGATACGTGAGGACAGAGGGACTTGAAGGCTGCAGCTAAGTCTGTGTTTCCTCCCACACAGTGAACTGTAGTGACTCCTCTATTTTGTTTCCTCAGAATGAGTTCCCCATCCCTGAACAGTTCAAGACGCTGTGGAACGGGCAGAAGTTAGTCACCACCGTGACGGAAATTGCTGGATAAAACCAACCGGGCAACTCAGCCCTTTCCTCTTACCCCACCGCCACTGTGGGACAAAAAAAAAATCTGCTTTTTTTCCCCCTGCTTGGGGATGATTTTTAGATTTCCTGTACCTTTTCCCACTCTCAATCTGCTTCTGTCTTCTTCCTGAGAGACTTTGCCTACCTTCTTTCATTGAAAAAAAAAAATACCTCAGGCTGGGATTTGGGGTAGGGTGGCCGGATCATTCACTGCTATCCTTTGATCAGCAAGAAGGTGAGATATTATTTCCTCCCTCCCCCCCCCCCCACGCCCTCCCCCGGTCGGACAAAACCAAATCGCCAATCAATGTTTGTCTGACTGGCTTGTGCTGAATGGAGCCCCTTCTCAAGGAACGGGCTTCCATAATTGTTTTCAGTTCCCTCCCGCCTTCGTTTAAGCAAGGAAGGTTCTGTCCCTCTTGGAGTAAAGCAAGTATCAGGGTATAAGAGTCCCCAGTGATTGTGTGCGTGAAATTGTATCTGGTTTGGGGGAGTACAAGGGAATTTGACTAATTCTGCTAAACTAATTAACCCAGGTGTTTTTTTTTGAGAGAGAGAGATATTCCAGGAATGGCTTTGCTGGACCAAAGGCTGAAGACTGGGATGGGTGGCATTCCTCCTTCGCCCCCCCCAACGATTCCCCCTTTTCCTACGTGCTCAGTGTAAAATTCTGTGTTGTGCCATGATGTCGGGGGAGACTCCTCAGTTACAGGTGCCACAAAAACTACCACGGAACAGAACCTCCTTCCTGGGAGTTCTGTTGAGCGCTTAGAAAGCTGCTGCTCACCACTTTCCATTTAAGCCCTACGTTAAAGGGAATATTGTGCCCCAAAGGATCCCCTCTTCTGAGCAACTGAACATGGTTCAGTCATCCAGGACAGTTCTCCCCCCACCCCCACCCCACCCCCTCCGCCTTGGGGCAATCTCTCTTTTCTAGGAAAGGATAGGTTCTCCCTTCTAAGTCCAGTATTTAATTATTTGTAAGCACAAGCTCGTTGCGGTTGATTCTGTTATCAATTAAAGCTTAATTTACACTGTAGAGTCTGGGAGATTTTTCCTTCTCTGCCTGTTCCTTTTCCTTCCCGTTGCTTGGCTTCTTCCTTTCCGCAGAGAGTCCGGTGTGTCAGCCTGGCACTGCGTTGGTTGTGCCACGGTTAAAAGGCATGGTACTGTACTGAAACGAGCCACTTTGGGCGCCTGAATTGTAGTGTCTCGGATAACATAAGCATATCTTACTTCTTTCTTTGCCACATTAATGAGGGGTGTTTTTTTTGCCTCCCACTAAAATGAAATGTAACAAAAGATATGCAATTCTTTTTCTTTTTTTTTAATTTTGAAACTGTCCTGTGACTTGTACTTCCCTCTTCAGGCTTGTGGAAATAAAACCTTTATGTACTTAAAATTATACTGAAGATAGAATAAAGTTAATGCCAAGTTGCTCATTCAAAGCAGTGGTCCTTATGGTGCTCAACAGCAGCCTGCTGCGATTGGAAAGCAAAAGCTATACTTCCTTGTCTTTCTATGTGTGCGAAGGACCAAACTCATCTTTTGCTCCAGGCATACAGGGCTAATCTTCTCATCTCAGTCCACAATAAATATCCCCTATTTATTCACCGGTGGCTGTGTTGGCAGGACCTGCTGGGAGTCAGAGGCCCCCTTCACCCCCAAACTCTACCCCTTGAGGGTCAGTTCCTTCTGAATGTTTCTTTAGGAGACAGTTTCCCTCGAACTCATTTGAGGAATAACATCTTGAAGATATTTTTCCTTCTCTTATTTGTTGGGTTACGCATGTCTCTTTTTCTTGGGTTGGGGGGAGAGAAGGCTGCTGCTAATTGCTTGCTCAAAGCTAGCATGACAAGACCCTAGCTAATTAAATGGCTGGTGTTTGGACGTTGTGCAGAAGATTTGCAGAGCCAGTACGTTGTTTAAAATTATTATTTTTTAATTGGAATGGGTCAAGTCACAAAATTACATGCCGTTCCTTCTGAAAACGGAACACAGAAAAGTTTAAATCAGCTTTGTGACAGTTTCCGCCCTCTGAAACTTCTATTGTATGCAAGATTAAATCTACAGTCTACTAAACCTCATCTTGGCTGTACATATAACTAGATGTTTCTCTGTCCCAGATCTCTTCGCTGCTTTCAGAACTTAAGAGCTGCAACTTCTACATTCATTTCCTACGGAGAAACATGCTACATACCAGTGTTGAACGCAACTTTCCGCAGAGTCACCCTCCCCTGTTCCTAAGAAGTATTAAATACGGCTTCCCTGAGAACTCAGTAAAGTGTTTAGCAACTAGAGTATAACTATCCTCAGAATATTCAGAACCCAGCCTTTCAACAGCAGCCTGGACTCAAAACCAGTAAATTCATATTTCAAAAGAAACAAGGAATTCTCCTCTTATTGTTAAACTGAACTCTTGCCTTGGCACCCATGGGGCGGAACTAGGGGGTAGAAAAATATCCCAAAGAACATAAATGTTGTCCGCATGGAACTAAAACCACTTAAGTGTTGCATGTTCCTTGAAAGATTCTACAGTCTACTAAACCTCATCTTGGCTGTACATATAACTAGATGTTTCTCTGTCCCAGATCTCTTCGCTGCTTTCAGAACTTAAGAGCTGCAACTTCTACATTCATTTCCTACGGAGAAACATGCTACATACCAGTGTTGAACGCAACTTTCCGCAGAGTCACCCTCCCCTGTTCCTAAGAAGTATTAAATACGGCTTCCCTGAGAACTCAGTAAAGTGTTTAGCAACTAGAGTATAACTATCCTCAGAATATTCAGAACCCAGCCTTTCAACAGCAGCCTGGACTCAAAACCAGTAAATTCATATTTCAAAAGAAACAAGGAATTCTCCTCTCTTATTGTTAAACTGAGCTCTCGCCTTGGCACCCATGGGGCAGAACGTGGGGGTAGAAAAATATCCCAAAGAGCACAAATGTTGTCTGCTTGGAACTAAAACCACTTAGTGTTGCATGTTCCTTGAAAGATAATACTGTGAAGTATTGTCTCTTTGAAGTCTGTGGCCAACCTGGTTGCAGTCCCTGTGTGTTCAGTGTTGGCTAGTTGCCATCTGACAGTAGTGGGAAACTACTAGACCAAACCTATGGAACGCGTGGCCCTACAAAAGTTGTGTGGCCTTCCAGCTGTTGCCAGAATTGACCTCTGTCATCTCTGGCCAGGGCAGCTAATGGATTGGGGGGGGGCTTTGCAGGTACTGCGCATTCTCCTCTCTTACTCTAGAAGGACACCCAGGCCATGCTTTTATATGCTGGGGGGAGGATCCATGTCTTCCCTCCAAAGTGTTAATTTTTAAAACCAGCATAGCACAAGTTAATGGTAATACTGCTCCTCCAGGAAAGTGCGATAAAGGTGCCTGAGCCAAGATGCTGCTGAAAGTCACTTCTAACCACTGGATTTGGTTTTCAAAAAGGCCCGCCATGTTCACTGTAGAAATGGCAGGATGTTCTCGTAAAACCATTCCTTGGAAAACTGGAGGTGGTCTCCTTCTGCCCCCAGGAACTCCAGTTGGCCTCCTTGGTCCATTTCCTTCAGCCCCAGACGATCCTGAGAAAAAGAACATGCCGGAATAAGAAAAGGTGTTTTTACCTAGAAAGGACTCCCATTTTTGCCAGGGAGTAGGATGCAGAGTTGAAGTCCTGCTGAACCGATTGAACGTGACAGGATCAGGCCATGAAACTCAGTGGCATCTACAGCACAGGTCAGAGCACCGTCTTAAAACCACTGGGACGGTCCAGGCTTCCTCAAGAACTGCTGAGGTTATTTGAGAGCATCTTAAGACTGTAGGCATCAGCACAGAGAGACTCCTGTAACTTGATATATAGGGTGACACTTCTCTCACCAACAACAGTGGAGGGGGGGTAGGGGGGTGCCAGACCTCCATGTAGTTCAAAATCCATGTATAAGTGCTACGTCCCTACAAACGTAAACTACAGCACATAAACAGTTAATTCCCACAAACGTACAGGCCTCCCCTAATCTGTGTCAGCCTCCCAGCATGTCCCAGCTCCCTCCCCAGCGGCCACACCATCAACCACAGGGGCCTTTCTCAGGCATCTTCTCAGAGCTGCATAGCAACACAGGATTTGTTGGGGGGGGCAACATTATTGAAATTGTTATTTGTTGGCTGGGGGGCAAATCCATGTGCAATCCATACCATGGTGCTCAGACCCATGTGGTTTCATGGCTGAGACGGGCTACAAGAGCAACCGTCATAACGCCCATAATGTAGTCGTCTTCTTGAGCAGAGATGGAAACCCGGTGGTCCTCAAAATGTTGCCGTAATAATATTCCTACAGCCCCTGCCCATAGGTCATTCTAGCTGGGGACGTTGAGGACAGTACTCTGGGAAAATCAGAAGGGCCGAAGGAACCTTACTTTGGATTTAGAGTTTCAGGAGCACTAATTACCTCTTTGTACAACGCAGTCTCGTTCAAAGGAATGGTCTCTTTCGCTTGCCCACTCCGATAGTAACCAAACCACTGGGAAAAGAGAGGGAGGAAAGAAATCTGTGAGACAACCTGGTTGCTGTGGCGAGTGAACAAGAAGAAGTGGCTCTTCAAGTCAATTCTGACTTATCATGACCCATTCCAGAGTTTTTAAGGTAGAGAATACTCTGAAATTGTTTCCACCCTTTCCAGAGTTTTTAAGGTAGAGAATATTCTGAAATTGTTTCTCATTTCCTTCTTCTGGGGACGCCTTGGGACTGTGCAGCTGGCCCAAGGCCACCCAGGCTGGCTCTTCTGAAATGCACAATGGGGAGCTGAGCTCCCAACCAACTCACTGAACGGTCCAGCCAGCATCATTGTGTCCTCTCAAGTCAATTCTGAGACACAGGGCAACCCTTTTTTTTTCAGAGTTTTCCAGGTAGAGGAGACTCAGAAGTGGTTTACCCATCCCTTCCTCCAGAGGGCGCCCTGGGACTTCGCAGCTTGCCCAAGGCTACCTAGGCTGGTTCTACTCACAGGCGACCCAGTGCGGAGCAGCTGGCCCAAGGCCACCCAGGCTGGCTCTTCTGAAATGCACAATGGGGAGCTGAGCTCCCAACCAACTCACTGAACGGTCCAGCCAGCATCATTGTGTCCTCTCAAGCCTATTCTGAGACACAGGGCAACCCTTTTTTTTTCAGAGTTTTCCAGGTAGAGGAGACTCAGAAGTGGTTTACCCATCCCTTCCTCCAGAGGGCGCCCTGGGACTTCGCAGCTTGCCCAAGGCTACCTAGGCTGGTTCTACTCACAGGCGACCCAGTGCGGAAATCGAACACCCAACCTCCGGCTCTGCAGCCAGAGACCTAACTCACAGAGCTATCTAGCCAGCTGGCTAGCTTATATAAGCCAACACAGAAAAGAACCATTATTTGTGTTTTAAACCCAGGAGTGCTATAGTTAGAAAAATAAAAAATATCCAGGAAGAACAATTCTGAGAGTAAACAAAGCATGTGGTTTTGGTTTTTGCAGGCTAGTTTATACCAAGCAAAAACCGCATGCTGTGTTCACTCCCAGGACCGTTCTTCCTGGACACTGTTATTTTCCTAAATATAGCACCTTCCGGCTTGCCTGTCCCTTCGTTGCCAGTTTGGTTTATTTTATTGGTGCCCAGTTTGAAAGACATGGTTAAATACAAGAAACGACTGCTGTGGCCAACATCAATTCAGCGTCTGATTGCACATGGGAACAGTAACTTTGCAATCCAGGGAGCACAAGGCAATCCGTAATCATCATTCTCCAACCACCATGGGATGACACATTGGGTCTTCTCCGTAAGAGAACCACGTTCCCCATCAACAGAAGGCTGTGATTACCTCTTCCTTCCTTCCTTCTTTGCTCTGTTCACTTTTTTCCGGTTGGCCAGAACAGCCCTTCGTAACAGAAGGCTGTGATTACCTCTTCCTTCTTTGCTCTGTTCACTTTTTTCTGGTTGGCCAGAACAGCCCTTCATTTCACCAGACCCTTTGGATCTGAACTGTGTCTTTTTACACAGAGAGAGAGAGAGATCTGCTCACCTCCGAGGCAGGAGGGTCCACCATGGTGTCATTGAGGAACCTGACCATCACAAATTTCTTCAGAGACATTAGGTTTATCTTGTACGTTTCATTGATGCACTGGGAGAGAGAAAGGAAGAGAAGGGAGAGGTTTTGAAAGAATCACTGCCAACTTGGGAGTTTGCTGTGTTCCAGGAGTCGGAGTATACAGCTCCCTTCCCATGGCAGCTTCACTGGCTACTTGTCTGCTTCTAGTCCCAATTCAAAGTCCTATAAACTCAGCCTGCTCAGCTTCTAGATTTATACAAAAATCAGACATGTAATAGACAATAGGAAAGAACACATCACAGTTGGAGGTGGGCATGAACTGCTGGTTGGGTGGATCGTCCCAGTTCATTTACCTGCCCAACAGGTGTTCTGCATTTCGGCACGTTGAGTGGGTGCCCACTCAGTCATCCAGAGGCCCATCTGAATGGCCTCTAAATGACCTCAAGGAGAGGAAGTGGTTCACCTGGATGACCAGCTGGTTCATACCAGCAACATAACAGCGGGTCCACTCCCGTTTCCCCCATTGCTACCCTGCCTTTCCTCCAACAAGCAAAAGGAACGTAAGTGGTTCTCCTCTCATTTATCATCAAAAGAACCCCCGCAAGGTCAGGTCCATTCAGAGAGCGCGAGAACCCCACAATCTTCTGATGAACTTCAAGGCTAAGTGAGGGATCTGTACCTAGGTTTCCAGTCTCGCAGTCTTAACCACGACACGATAAACTGGGTTTCTTAGAGCGAAGGGAAGCATGGTCTCCCACTCAAGGACTGCCCAAGCTGAAGCTTCGCAAAAATTACCCTTTCTTGATTGATGTCTGCCAAGAAGAGGCTGTGCTTCCGGTATTCTTCCTCCTTCAGTGGATCATGCCAGTACTGCGCTTGGACCAAGCTTGGGCAGAGAGAAAAAGAGAGCCTGTGGTCAAAGCATAATCCTCAAAGGACCCAACTCCGATCCCAGCCCTCCCAACCTCTGGGGTCATCGGTCTCCAGCCAAGCTCACCGCTGTTGGACAGCCTTGGTGTAGGCGCCGATGTCCAGCATCTTCCGGATCCAGTCACAGAGGTGGGAGCTCTCCCCTGGACAGCGCGGGAAGCCGTAGACGCCTGTGGCAGGGGAAACAATGACCATTTACGGGCATTTAACATTTCTCCGAATGACTCTGTCTAGCTTTTGAAACAAGTTCTGCTGCAGATATTCTTTTAAGGAAGTTAGGGTTGGTATATCAGCAGCTTGAAAGGACCAGAGAAACGGAAATATATCTTCCTGTTTATTTTCCCCAGCAGATCCCCCCTCATTCTTGACGTAAATCTCAGACACAGGCAAGCGTCTAAATTCTGTTTATTTCTTACACAGGTGTGTAAGAAGGCCTACTGTACACATGTTGAAAGGTCCTGTGCTTGAGATCTGCATGAGATGATGATGGTGGTGGTTACATGTATACTCCACCTTTCTAATACAAAATTGCTCAAGGGGGCATATACGCTTCATAAAAGAATAAAAACCAACCCCACGTTTAACTATAAAATAATAAATAGAAAAACCATCAAACTCGCTCTCCTCTGGCCCTGTATGTATAGCCTTTCTTCTTTCATGTTTCAATAAAGCCCTGTATGTATAGCCTTTCTTCTTTCATCTCCTGTTTCAATAATTCAAGAATTACATTTTCTATAAATGAAAAACTATCCACTCTGCTTCAGTTAAGGACCTCGAGTGGCATTTACACCTTGCCGTTCCTCAAAGGAGGGCGACGGCAGCTGGTCTTGGTCCTCCTCACGACAGGCCTGGGCGGTCAAGTGAGACGGAGAGACCCTACCAGCCTGAGCTCCCTCTGTGGGCTTCAGGCCTGGCTGTCGGTTTCGAACCCGGCTCTCTTCAGGATGGAGCCTGCCACTTTTCATGAGGCCTGCATCGCCTCCAGAAAAGCTGTCAAGCGATCTGGAAGTGAAACATGCTAAAAAGGCATCCTGAGAGCTTTCACGGCCAGCGTCCTTTGGCAGAAACAGCCATGGCAGCGCTGTGGTTTGTCTGCTGAGGCCACCCAAGGGGAAGGGAGGCTGGCCTTCCGCCTTCCCGCCTGGAGCCCTCGGGGGTCCCTCTTCGCTCCAACGATGCCAACCAGAAGAAGCCACAGCCCTTCTCTTGCGCTTGAATCGAGCTCCGGGACCATCTGAAGCCAACAGGAGCTTGAGGTTGGCTTTCCCTCCTCCCTTTATTTATTTTATTTATTTCACTTATATGCCACCCACTCTACCCAAAGGTCTCTAGGCGGCTTACAACAGTTAAATTCAATTAAAATACAATAAAATATAAAGGCTTTTTTTCTCGTGCCACGGCTTTTTGACGTGAAACTTTTTTTTTCAACCAGGAGCTTCCTCGGTTCAATTTCTCGTAGGCGACTCCGAGAAGCTTTCCAGGCGAACAGCCGAGTTTACAAAACGGTGCTTCCCAGGGAAGCTCTGCCCTGCTCTGGGGGGGGGACATCTCACTCGACGACGACCAAAATCTGCAGCCTAGCCAAGAGATTAAAACCCAAGAAGGGGCCTGAGGGCAGGTTTACCTTGGTGCTGACCTCCCACGGAAATCAGATTGACCATCGGGGGAGATGGACACCTTTGCACCACGGCCCTCCTGGGAAACAGAAAGAGATCAGCCACAGCCACCGAAAGAAGCATAGGTGGTGCCCATCAGATCTGTCAGATTACAACAATGACTGGCTTTGCATCGATTAGAAAAAAAGACCTCCATATTGTCCCTGGGAGGATTAGTTCCAAGCACCCCACCATCAGCACAGATACTGAAATACACAGATTATAACAAACACAATTTTAACACCCAATGCTATCCATAACATAGTCCCTTGCTCCCTAGAGGCCAGTTCCGGTAATTTCATCTTTAGAAATACAGATTTTTAAGATTTTTCTTTTACCGTTTCCCTGGAAAATAAGACCTAACCTGAAAAGAGGCCCTAGTATGTTTTTTCAGGATGCTCAGCATAGAAGCCCTACCCCCCCCAAAAAAAAATATGCCCCAGTGAAGTGAAACCCCACCCTCCACCTTTGTGCAGCAACCAGAAGATGATGACAGGACTGTATTTATTTATTTATTTAACTTATATGCCACCCACTCTACCCAAAGGTCGAATTTATTTGAATAAATGTAGATGGTTGTACATGAAAAAAACACCCCCTGAAAATAAGCCCTAATGTGTTTTGGGAGCAAAACTTAATATAAGACTCTGTCTTATTTTCAGGGAAACATGGTAGTATTTTTAGACGGGGATCCTGGGTTCTTGCTGTACCTGATACTGATTTTGTAATAAAGAGTAATATGCACTCATACCAGATGACTGCCCTGCAGGCATCACAGCTATTCACAAGATAAAAGATACTTTAAAAGCACTGCTGTTGGTCAATAATCAGGCTAAATCATGGTTTTAGCAGGGGATTATGAGAACTGCAGTCCGATCCATCTGACAGGAGAAGCCAGCGTGGCTGTAACTGAACTAAAGAGATGACCACTGTGACTCCATCTGACAGGAGAAGCCAGCGTGGCTGCAACTGAACTAGAGAGACGACTGCTGTGACCTGGTGGACGGGAGCTGTGTTAAGAGAGGATCTCGCCCATGAAGAGCCTTCAAAGAAGTCTCAGGAACAATAGACGCTGGCTGAGAATGCATCAAGGGGCCTGCTCCGCTCTTCCATCTGACAGGAGAAGCCAGCGTGGCTGTAACTGAACTAAAGAGATGACCACTGTGACCTGGTGGATGGGTGGCCCATAAAGAGCCTTCAAAGAAGTCTCAGGAACCTCAGACGCCGTCTGAGAACGCATCAAGGGGCCTGCTCTGTTGGGTTCTCTCCCATTCTCTTCTGCCCAGCAATGGATTGTCGTTATGGGCTGTTTTTGTGCATGGGATCCTTTTAACTAGAAATGACGATAGCCTGAATCTATAAACTTCTCTACAAAACTCTCTCTATTCCAACCTACGGTCCTCCCCATAAGAAGCCAAGCCCTGTCCGCCCAGCTCGATCCCAAGCCGTTCCACACTTAAGTCACTCACAGGAACTGGCCTCCTTGTGAGAAGCCCATGGCGTTGTAGCCCCCTTCTAGCTTTGGGTCATTCGCCAGCTTGTCACACACGAAGGCCACCTGGTCGTTGACGTCCAAGAAGAAGCTGTTCTCCATGTCCTGAGGAGGAAAACGGAAATATTATTATTTACCAAATGCTGCATTCATACACCTCCTTTCCTATGGCGCATTCAAGGCCGTGCACCTGGTGCTCTTCCTCTACAATGTGGTCCTCACAAGGCTCCCACGAAGGAAGGCCAGGCAGAGAAGATGATGGAGAGAGAGAGAGAGGCCCAAGGCTTTAGTGAGGAAGCTTTAGGGTTAAGGGGGTACATGCACCCGGGATCTCCTAAATCCCTAGTCCAACAGGGGGGAAGCAGACAGCATTGTTTCAAAGTTCTCTGCTTCCCATGCCCAAAACCAGGGAGGAAGAAGAGGAGGAAAGACACCCCATCCCAGCTCCTGGGAGATTCGAGCCAGCTCTCTCTTCCCTGGAGGTTCACCTCACCTGTATTCTTCCTTCCTAGACAGGTCTCTTCTTCTGCTAGACCTTGGCTGTCCCATCTCTTAAGAATCAACATGTGTCCTCAAGTCAGTCCTAACTTACGGTGAACCTTTTCACGGTTTTCCAGGAAGAAAATACTCAGAAGTGGTTTCCCCTTCCCTTCCTCTAGAGGGCTGCCCTGGGATGGTGCAGCTGGCCCAAGGCCCCCCAGGCTGGCTCTTCTGGGAGGCACAGCAGAGAATCAAACTCCCAACCAACTCACTGAACGGTCCAGCCAGCATCGTTGTGCACTCTCCACTCAATTCTGACACAGGGCAACCATTTTTTCAGGGTATTCCAAGTAGACGATACTCAGAACTGGTTTACCCTTCCCTTCCTCTAGGGGGCACCCTGGGACTGTGCAGCTGGCCCAAGGACACCCAGGCTGGCTCGACTCACAGGGAGGCTCAGTGGAGAATTGAACTCCCAACATCTAGCTCCGCAGCCAAACATCCAACCACCCAGATTCTCTCTCTCTCTCTCTCTCTCTCACTCACACACACACACACACACACATCTCATGAGTCAGAACTACAATGTTTGTCATTTTATCATAAGGGTACTGAAAACCAGGTTGGAATGGGAACCCTTCCCTTTCTTATTTTCAGCAAAGTCAAAGAGCGAAGAAGAGCTTCTCAGGATATCAGTTGCAAGCCATTTACATGCAGGACAACAGCTTGTGCACAGATAGGATTTAAAGAGAGCCTGGTCCAATCCAATGAGAGTTTCAAGTAGCCTGTAAGCAGATCTGTCTCTCTGTTTTTGCAACCAGATCCGTCTTCAAATCCAATTACTCCCTGGGCTTTAATAAAATCCCTACTTCAGGGCTACTCCAGTGGATTACAGAGCGAGCTGACCTCAAAGCCATCACCTGCGGTCTTTGCCTTCCCTGAGGGCATTGATATTGCCCTCTCGCCTCACCCACTCACCACCAACATATAGGCTTGAGGGGTGGTGGGTAAATCTGTGCTACATGGGGAAAAATAAAAATAAAAACCCTCTCCCATCAGCAAAAAGACTAATCATTTTCCTAGAGAGCCAAGATGTACATGAAATGAATTCCTCCACTCCTCCTTCTCTATGGCTGGTTGGAGAGCTCAGTGGTTAAGGTATCCGGCTGCAGGGACAGAGGCTGGGAGTTCAAATCCTGCCCATCGCGCACCCCAGAAGAGCTGCACAGTCCTAGGGCGCATGCAGAAGAAGGGAAGGGGGAGCTACTTCTGAGTATTCTCCACCTCAAATATCCTGACAAAGGTTACCATAAGTCAGAACTGAGTTGACAATACGTGCCTGTTTACATTATTACATGTAATGATTACACATTATGACGAACACTGGGAGCTGCATCTAAGAATATTGGAGGGGTGGAGGGACACTTCGCCCACGCTGCTTCTAATGCTCTGGTCCTGTGCACCATTTTAGCACGAGGTCCCAAGAGTCTCTTTTATGTCTGTCTTACAATGACAGCGTCGGATCTGTGATCCAGTCCACAATTCCTGCAGATAACCGTCGAGATGGGCCTGTGCCCCAGTTCAGCCATTCGTGCTGGTTCAGTGGACGGTCGAACAGGGGGTCCATGCTTCGGTGACCCGACCCCTCCAGCAACCGCCCAATTAAGAGGCAGCGCCCAGAGGAGGCGAGGCAGGGAAGCTGGGATGCGGCTTCTGAATGAGGGGATGGGGCAGCCGAAGCACAGAACACACTTGTTCAGCCATCCACCAAACCGGCCGTTCGGGCTCATCTCTAAATTCCAGCAACAGAGTATGGACGCACCTTCTCAGATTTGGCCTGCAAGGTTCTGCACACTTTTATTTAGAAGGGAAAACTCAGTTTGAAAACCATCATGTTAACCTACAGAGAACATATATAGTTTTTAAAAAGAAAAAAAAACAAGACCACCTCAATTAAGCTTCTGCCGATCTCTAGAGAGAGGACATAAATTCCTGGAACCTTCTTCTCCACAAGTTCCTTAATGTAGCCCATGCTCATAGGATTACAGCAGCTGTCTCCTATGGTTTAAGGAGAGAAAAGAGAGGAGTCATTCTTTTCTAGCCTGACAAAAATAGATTATGAAGAATGAAAATACCATAAATGTAAAGCCAATTCATGAGCTACAAGGGCACACAACAGCCCCAAGATTAACCTCCATCTTTCACTAGTAACTAAGGTGGTCTACTGATTGTAGAATATTTAATTGATCAGTGGCTTGTATTTATTTATTTATTTATTTATTTATTTATTTATTTATTTATTTGATTTATATCCCGCCTATCTGGACTATAAGTCCACTCTAGGCGGCTTCCAGCATATAATAAGAATAAAATACAATTAAAAAACAAAATGTGCATAAACATAAATAACAATTACAGTCACAGCAGATAAAAAGGAATACAGTATAAGGGAAATTAGAAAAGGAATCACATAATGGTTTCACTCAAAATAAAAAGACATACTATAGAAACCTCCTTGTAGATCGATACCTAAGATGCTGAAAGAAACTTAAGATTAGTAGCAAGTCAACAACATGGCACCTTTTCTTAGTTGCACAATTGCTCTGTAATCATAGGGAACCTCAGGCCCTAGGGCTCCATTTGGCCCGCCTGCGGTTCCCCAAATGACCACAAACGCCTTCTCGAGGAAACGATAATTTGACTGCTCATTACCATTTATATGGACATTTTTTCCCGAAATGATATTTCTTTATTAAGAGGTCGCTAAACAACATTCTCTCAACAGATCTCAGGGTACCGATGAGCTTTAAAAAAAAGCTTTACATGCCAGAGTTGTTGTGAAAATTAAAAGGAAAGGAGAAATCATACTCTCCACCACCACCTTGTCTTCTTCGGAGGAGAGTCTGGGAGCAAATACAATAGGAGGGATTACCCTGGCCTCTAGACCAGGGTTTTGGAAAGCAGACCAGCTCCAAACAGAAAACAGACTGGATAGTGTTTATTTAGTGACCTTTTTCTCCCCGTCCTGTTCAACATGAAAATGTCGGGGTGTTTCCCTGAAAGAGCACAATCCAAAGTGTATGTGGGGGGGGGGGAATAGAAGAAGAATGCGGATTCTTACATCCCTCTCTTTCCCTCTCACACATTCACACCCACAGAAAGAACTCCACATCATTCTGCCTGACGCAACTGCAGTTTTGGACGAGACCCAGGAAGTCTGTCGCTGCTCCTTCCGGTCTTGTTTAATGGCAGGTTCGTGACATGAATTTGCATCACTAGCCGCAAATTATTAGGGTAATTAGAGAGCGGATATCCCTGTCAAGCAGAATCCCTGGTTCTCCGCTCCCAGGAGGAGGAGGAGGAATTTGCAGGGAGAGAAGATTTTGGGGAATCAAAGGTGTGGGAGACAAAAAGACTCGCTCAGCAGGAATCTGCAGTGAAAGAGGGGGCTGTGAGTATCACCTTCCACAGAATATTTCTCAACCACTATCATCTGCCCCAGGTTCCTACTCATTCCTCACTCCCTCGTTTGCAGTCCAGCCCAAACGGAGCCAGTAAAGTGTGTTTTCCCAGAAAAGTAATGAGCTGTACCAAATGACGTAACTATTTTTACAGCAGAGAGAATCCCAGAAAGAAGCAAAAATGGCAAAATAGAATATATTCAATTTTGAAGCATCTCACACAGTAGGTAGGGACTTAACCCCCAAGGTGAAATGAATGAGAAACCAGGAATCCCTATGCAATTTCAAAGAGCACACACCAAGAAAGCCCATTTTGTTTCATGATAAATCTGGTATAAAATCAGTGACAAGAATCACCCAAGTCCAGAACTGGTTCTCTCTGTAGGCGGCCCTCTTTTATACCACCCTAAACTGGCATGTGTCACTGGAGACCCAGATTTGCAAAACGCTCTTGTATTTACAGTCACCGTGTGTGGGTGTGAAAGCCGAACAGGAAAGAAAGATGACACGGGGGTGGGGGGGATGATTCATTTGAAAAGTGGCGCTGGAGGAGAACTTTGTGGATACTCTGGATTGCCAGAAAGACCCACAAGCGGGTCCTAGATCAAATCAAGCCTGAACTCTCTCTGGAGGCAAAAACGTTGGCCACATCATGAGAAAGCGGGATTCTCTGGGAAAGTCAACAATTCCAGAAAGGTGGAAGGCAGCAGGAAAAGAGGAAGATCAAATGTGAGATGGGTGGACGCTCTAAAAGAAACCATGGGCTTGGGTTTGCAGGGGCTAAGCAGACCAGTGGAGGGCAGGTCATTTTGGTTCATTCATAGCATTGCCCTACGCCAGAGGCAACTTGATGGCACGTAACGACAACAAACTCAAGTTTGGGGAGTCAGTTCCTCTAAGCATCTACACTTGCCGAAAAGACATCATCCAAGGGGTGGCATGGAGAACCCGTCACACCTTCAGGTGTCGTTACAATGCAACTCCTGACACCCTCCACCAATGGCCAGTTACGCTGTCCTGTCAGATGGGCCATCCAGGAACACCTGGCGGGCCACATGTTGCTAACCCCAGTCTACACCTCCTTAAAATCTTCCAACCGGCACAGCTAGGAAACTGTACCACGAAAAAGTAACTTTCTCAAGCTTGGATCCTAAGGTCAACAACAGTTGCACTTCGTTTCAATGACTGAAGAATCCTGCAGCCTGATTCAACTGGGTGACTGAAGAAGCCTCCTTAGATTCCTTTCCACCTTTTGTGCATCAAATATTATTTCCAAACTACTGTAAATCTACTTTTGGAATGACACCCAGAGATTTGAGAAGCAGAGGATTCTAACCATATCTTGTTTTTGAAAAAAAAAAAGAGTAATTTACAGATTCAGCTAGAAGCACTTTTGTCCTGGCAAAAGGCACTTCCATGTTGCTTTCTATTATTTATTATAATATGCTCAGAAACTATGTTTTTTCCAATGAGCTCATGTCCTGGCAATAATCCAGTGAGATACAGAAGGTCAAGAGAGATTGGCCCACAGTGACCTCGTAAGTTTCACAGCTCAACAGGGACGAGAACTCTTAAGTCCGAGAGCAGCCCAACACCCGACACTCTAATCAGGTCATCACACTGATTCCATTTCAGATGTAAAATATTTTATTCAGGTTTTTTTTTAAATAAACCAACAGGGGATGTACAGTCTCAGGACCACCACCACCCAGAAATTACTAGACAATCTTGAAAAAAACTGATTTCTCCTGAAGTCTGAAAACTCAACATACTGCCACCAGGAAATGCTGGGGACGCGAGTTCAATTTAATCAGAGAAGACAAGCCTTCTCTCTTTTGAAAAGCCACCTTAGAGAAAGCTGCTTACACACTCTTCAAGGTGAAAGACATCAACAAGCGACTTCCCCTAAGTAACTTGTTGGACTTCAGTAAATAAAATGCGGCGACTGGAAAGTCTGTGGAGCATAAGACTCTACTGCCAACAAAGGATTAGTTACAAGGGAAAAGTGATCTTGCTTATTTAACAATCACAGAGTCTCCAACGTGCACACACAACACACAAGATTTGTGACTTAGGTTCTGACCCCGATTACACATTCCTAGGCTAAGGATTTGTTCACAGACATGATGTTTGTACATTTTCAGTACACACCTCCCGGGCACAGCACCTACCTCCACCTTACCCATCTTACCAGTCTAGAAAAAATCAAAAATAGAAACTAAAGTAGCTTTCATAAAGCTGGGTCCTATGGTGCAGAGAGACAACCTTTCCAGCAGGAGGAAACTTTTCTCAGTTCCATATCTCAGTTCTCATTTTTCATTCTTACACTATAAACTTGCCATTTGACAGAGAAGGAACCAAAAGCCATCCATTGTGCACCACTTCTGTTTTCTTATTTTCCTTCTGACATTCACGGAATTCTGCCTTTTGATCCCTGTTTGTAAAAATCCAGCCAGATAATTTAGACCTCTAGAAACGTCTGTTCAGAGCCGAATCTGCGTCTGAATCTAAATCTGTGCAGCAAGCCAGCAATTAAATCATGCAAACTTTGCAAACTTTATGCTTTGCTTGCTTAAAGAGAATTACTGTACAGCTCACTGGTAAGGCACTTCAGTTGTCCAGCAATGGGAAAATAAAAGTAGACACAGCTACCAGATTTGCAAAGGCGAGGATTTAAATATTCAGGATTCTTAGCTTTGAGTATTTTCTTTTAATGGTGTTAACCACTGTTGTATACTCATGGTTTTCGACTTTAAATATTGTTTTTCAATGTTGCAAGCCGCTTTGGGTCCTGTTCAAGGAGAAAGACTGGGTGAAAATATTTTTAATTAATTAATACAAAAATCAGCAGCCCGTTTCCCAGCTCTTCTGCCTTTCTCACTGCTGCTGAAGCCGGCTGGAAATTCAACAAATACAGCAACTAGAGAGGTAAAATTTCTGAAAATAAAAGGGCTTTGGGGGGAAAAAAGGAAAAAAAATATGTTTTTACCCCCAATTTTCCCAGTTTTTCCCCATGCCTTCCCATCTCTACACCAACCCTTATTTCAGCACCAATCTTCCGTGTATTTGTTCAGAACTAAGTTCTGAGGTGCACACCAAAGTTAGCGTGTACCATCCTGGAAATTTAAAAAAAACTCCTCTCCCAAGGGACAAAAAAGGCCAGAGAAAGAGAGGCCCTCGCCTGCTCCCCACTCACTCACCCATGCCATGCCAGATGACCAGCGGCAGCGGCCCCGCAAGGCTGCCGGAGATCCTCCCGCAACAAGCGCCCCAGAGGATCAGCAGGCGCTGCAGAACCGCCAACCGCTTGGCTGACGCCATCTTGAGTGTGTCATATGACTCCGAGCCCGGAGCCGGCCAAGGCAGGGAGTCACGTGGCCACGAGGGGGGGAAATTCGCTGCTTTCGCCCGGCCTCTTCGAAATGGAGGCGAGCCAGCCAAAACACACACGCGCAAAAGCCGCGTGGCATTCTGGGAATCGTAGTTGAAGGGGCGTCCGCAAGCTGAGGCTAGTCAGGGAGGAACTAAAACTGATTTAAGAGTTCGGTTCCCATCAGCCCCACCTGAGCAAAATGGGGGAAGGTTTTCCGACCCTGTTTATTTTGTAGAAGAGGCAGCTGTGTTAGCCTGTGCAAGTATTATAGGGAAAACAAAATAAAAAATAATAATATAAAGAAAAGAATCAATAAAAAAGACCAAAACATAGTGGCACCTTAAAGACTGTTTTACTTTTTTTAATGGGAGCTTCTGTGGTCAAGTCCACTCCCTTAGAGGTGAGAGAAAGAGATGTAACCTGGCAAATAGTCATGCCTCAAAATAGAGAGATCAAAACATATAAGAGACACTTGTTTGGTTGGTAAGAAAGTCAGTGGGTGTTCAACAGTATGGAAACAGCGTTTTTAATAGGAAGGTATTTCCTCTGCACCCTTACTTGGGAGTATCAGCAGAAAGAGATTCTAAACAACCTGTAATTTGAGGTTGAAAGCACATTACTGTTGGAGAGAAGTGACGGAAGCGGCCTTTCGGGTTTGCAAAATCAGACACAGAAGGGCTCAAGAAGCCAGGTAAAGGAAGCCAGTGTGGAAGCCCTAAATCTAGGAGACGAGACAAGCTTCTGCTGTGACATTTAGATGCTTTCATTACTCAAGGCCTTTCTAATCATGGGCTGCCTACAATGTCTGTTTCTACCCTAAATTTCAAATACTGTACACTAAATATAAAAGGATTTACTTTGGAATTAACATACCAAGGCTCATACTGCACCAAATTCCACTTCTATGGAGGCAGGATAAATAAACTACGTATGTTATGTCCTGCTAGTCTCTCCAGAAGAAGCAATTAACCAATATAGAGCATTGATTGGTTCTCTCCATAACAAAAGGGTGTGGTTAGCCAAACCCAATTGATTGGTTCTCTCCATAACAAAAGGGTGCGGTTAGCCAAACGGGAGATTTTGAAGCACGTCGGGGTGGCTAGGTCCAGCGTGTTCCACCTGTTATTTTCCAAATAATTTGATATACGTAAGTAAGTTTTCTTCTTTTGTTAAGATTTTATCTGGTTACTCTTGCCACACCTGGGAGTATTGGATGGGGGCAATTTAAAAAATTAATTTAAAAAAACTATCATTATCATTCCTAGGACCAACTTGTGGATCTAGGAGAATCTAAATATGTTTTCCTAGATGACCATGTGGGTCCAGAAGGGTATTTTGTAACACAACTGCAAAGGTCTTAGAGGTTCTTACAAAGTTTGGGGCTAAGGCTACAAACAGTACCAGAAAACACGGATTCTCTGTTAAACTTAGAAACTTATTTCTTATCATCTTTCAGCAGAATCAGGATTGCCTTAGCATTAGTGCTTCTCTTTGCTGAGAAATAAGTAGCTATAAATACCTAGACAATTAAAATTATAAAATGATGAATTTCAGTTAATCCTTTTTTGGGGGTCCAACAAAGTTATGAGTATATGACAATTGAAAAACGTTAGAAGGGACAACATCACTCTTTGGGGCTGAAATTGTAACTCTTTAAGTTACTTTAATAGTTACATGGGCGTGGCCTCACAAAATGGTGCAGGAGCCTGGGTTCAAGTGGCCGCTTATTATTAAACTGCTGAATTAAAAAAATACTTACAGCTGTTACGAATAATCTCCCAGGAGCTGTCTTGATTGCCTACAATAGGAAGAAAGGCAAGAGGAAAAGGAAATAAATCATAAAAGTAAATACTGTAAATGTTTGCAATAGCATAGTGGAGAGGAAGCTTGCCTCTAGTCTCTCTGAGGTGAGCCTAGGGAGCATTGGGCCTTTGACTTCTGTTCTTATTGATAAGAAGAACCTTCTAGTTTTCCTTTCTTTGGCATGTCTGTGGTGAAAACGACCCCTTTTTTTGGAGGGTACTGAACCAAAGCTTGCCTCTAGTCTCTCTGAGGTGAGCTTAGGGAGCATTGGGCCTTTGACTTCTATTCTTATTGATAAGAAGAATCTTCTAGTTTTCCTTTTTTTGGGGGGGGAGCATCTCTTTTGTGAAAATGACCCCTTTTTTTTTGGAGAGTACTGAACCGTCCGTGTTCCAACTTTGCCCTCTTTTCTTCCGAAAACCAAAGGCTGTCGCTATGGGGAAAGAAAAGACTCATATCAACATTGTGGTCATCGGCCACGTGGATTCGGGGAAATCCACCACCACCGGACACCTCATCTATAAGTGTGGAGGGATTGACAAACGAACCATCGAGAAGTTTGAAAAGGAAGCCGCTGAGGTCAGGAGGAGAGGCACCCTTAATAAGGCTAGGCTGGCAGGCAGAATACTTCGGAGCAGGAACGAAGGGGTGGCGGGGCGGTGGAAATCATATCTTTGTGGAATGGGTGTCTCATGAGGTCCACAGCTCCAAGGCTTTTAATTATCCTAGAAAAATATAATTGCTCGTTGTCCACTTGCCCGATGCTAAGCATTTCAGTAGTGGCTTGATAACTTAATCCAACCCTCTGAAGAGCTATGAATATCTAAAAATTTCATTTGGATTTGATTTAATCCTTGGGGCCAATCCAAGGAATTCTGGCAAACAATGGGCCCACCTTCAGGTGAAGGTTAACATGTATTGCCAGATTAAGTTATCTGGTAATATATGTTAAAAAAATCTTTTTCTGGATTTCTTTTCTTTTAATATTATTTTCGGACCGTGGATAAGTGAAATCGCAGATACTGATCCTGCAGATATGGGGGGTGTCCTACTGTATTGATTCCATGTCTAGAAGCAGTGCTCCCCCAAGTGGTGAAAAAAGTCTGATTGCGAAAGCTCATTAAAGGCAGAAGCCTGATTGTCATCGTAATGCTGATGGGATGAAAGCAGTGTCTCTCGCTTTGTGTGTCTAATGGCAAACACACTCAAAACACAGCGGATTGTATGACTGGAGGAGGGCTATGAAGAGAACAGGAAAGGTGCATTTATCCTCTCACATGTTTTAGCCCCAACTTTCCCACCTCACATCTAGCTCCAGTTGGTGGTTCTTGGGGAGGAGGGTCTAGTTAAACACAAAGCAAATCCTACAAGCCTCAAGTCTGCCCACCCACCCTCGTTGTATCCCACGTCTGTTTCTCATAGATGGGGAAAGGGTCTTTCAAATACGCCTGGGTGCTAGACAAGCTGAAAGCGGAGAGGGAGCGCGGCATCACCATCGACATCTCCCTCTGGAAGTTCGAGACCCCCAAATACTACATCACCATCATCGATGCCCCTGGCCACCGGGACTTCATCAAGAACATGATCACTGGGACCTCTCAGGTCAGTATGGTCTGTTTTAGGGGGGCTTTCAAGTGAGGTTTCTATCATACAATGACCCTTAAATTTCTCTTTAATGTGTAATTTGACCCTGTGACAGCCCACCATGGTAGGGGGTTCCATAACAGTGGAGCCACCACTGAGAAAGCATTGCCCTAGTGTACATCAGCATTACTAGCACTAAAAATAAAGTACACCCTACAACATCATCGTTTGAATACCCACGCATCATTATTCTGGAAATGTTCTAGACCGACAGCAGTCTTTAAAACTCACTGGTGTTCTTTTCCAGGCTGACTGTGCCGTCCTGATTGTGGCCGCTGGGGTGGGTGAATTCGAAGCGGGCATCTCCAAGAACGGGCAGACCCGTGAGCACGCCCTGTTGGCTTACACCCTGGGGGTGAAGCAGCTCATCATTGGGGTGAACAAGATGGACTCCACCGAGCCCCCTTACAGTGACCAGCGTTTCCAGGAGATTACCAAGGAAGTGAGCAGCTATATCAAGAAGATCGGCTACAACCCGGCCACCGTGGCCTTCGTCCCCATCTCCGGCTGGCACGGGGACAACATGCTGGAAGTCAGCGTCAAAGTAAGAGGGCTTCTTTATGTGACGGGCAACCTCCCATGGGCCACGGAACCTTTCAGCGGGCGAACTTTCGAACAAAATGGGCAAGGGAAGATAAAAGTTTGGTATTAAAGGCGCAAGGTTTTCCTTTGTTCAGCATTCAAGCGGGATTGTGGGTTCTTTTTAAACTCTCTCTCTCTGGGAAAAAGGCCATTTCTAAAAATATATATATTGGCTCTGAGGTTAGAGATATTCTCTGGATGCTCCTTTGAAATTCCCTTTCCCAGGATGTCCCTTTGATCTTCTTTCAGGAGAGAAGAAAGAAAGAAGGAGCCTGAGTATTTTATTATTTTGATCATGCCTTTGCTAAGTGTCTCTACACTTCTCAGACAATGGCTGTTTTCCCATGGCTTAGTGAGGACAGCGTTACTGGACTTTTGCTCAACATATGAAATTCATTGTCTAGCTTTCTATATAATTACTACATCCTTATATATATAGTTATAGTTCAAAGTGGCAATGAGGGAGATTTACACTCATTATGGGAAATGTACTCTAGAGGGCACTGGGAGAGCACCGGTTTGGAGTAGACTATTTTCATGACGCTCTTGAGAGCCTGCAAGTACTTGCAGGTAGAATTGTGTGTGAGAATTCCACTGTGAACAGCAACATGCGATTTCACTTCTCAGATGCCGTGGTTCAAAGGCTGGAAAATAACTAGAAAGGAGGGGACAGTTACTGGCATGACCTTGATGGACGCCCTGGATTCCATAATTCCTCCATCCCGTCCCGTCGACAAGCCTCTTCGCCTGCCTCTACAAGACGTCTACAAGATTGGCGGTGAGTCCATATCGGGAGAGAACTGAAAGAGTTTAGAAATACATGAAGTCAAACCAGTTGGTTGTGGTCGCAGCCAATAAATCCTGGGACTTTGGACATCCTTGAATGGTGCTATAACCGTAAACAGGGGGAATGAGCATAAGGTTCAGAGGTTTTATGGGACAACTGAGTGACTTCTAGAGTGGTTTCTACACTGCCTGGCTTAGCATAAAATTGCTGATTGACCAGGGCAGGAAGCGAATGGCCTTTAGACAAAGGATGGTCTCAAAGTAGTTACTACGACATGCTTCTGGGGCCAGCCCTGCCATTAGGCAGAGTTTGGCAGTGATCTTTGATGGCAGAGGCTAAAGGGGTGCATTGTGGACAGTGGCAACAACTGCCTGTTTTTTGCCCTCTTGTTTGAGTACAGAACGATTTATTCCAGATCTGGCTGCCCTCCACCTTTGCAGCTAGCTCACTGCCCTTGCATGTGGTGAACGACGCTGTCCTCTCCCATCCCCATTGCTGAAGTATATGTTGTTTAGTTATTAAGTCATGTCTGACTCTTTGTGACCCCACGGACCAGAGCACGCCAGGCCCTCCTGTCTTCCACTGCCTCCCCGAGTTTGGTCAGATTCATGTTGGTCATTTCGATGACCCTGTCCAACCATCTCATCTTCTGTCATCCCCTTCTCCTCTTGCCTCCACACTTTCCCAACATCAGGGGCTTTTCCAGGGAGTCTTCTCATGAGATGGCCAAAGGATTGGAGCCTCAGCTTCAGGATCTGTCCTTCCAGTGAGCATTCAGGGTTGATTTCTTTCAGAATGGATAGATTTGTTCTCCTTGCAGTCCAGGGGACTCTAAAGAGCCTCCTCCAGCACCACAATTCAAAAGCATCAATTCTTCGGCGGTCAGCTTTCTTTATGGTCCAGCTGAGGTATATAGATGGGCACAAACCAGTTCATCCCCGTTCATAAAGGTGGCAGTACAGGGGCTGCTTCTTCTCTCCCCGCCTCCTCAGCAGATCAGCCACTCAGCAGGCCCACCTGCTTGACTAATCTCCCAGTCACAAGCAAGAACACAAACTTATCTGCCCAGCCTTTTTGCCTGAGTGGGTGATCAGCCAAGAGGGCAGGGCAGAGAATCCCAAACTGTTGCGGGGACTGGAAGATTCATTGAGGGGGTGCCGGAAGCTTGCACGCTGGACCTGGTGAGTGGCTGACTGAGCCGGAGGAAGTACAGGAGGGGAGCAGCAGCACCTCTGCTGCTGACTTTAAGAATGCGGATGAACCGGATCATGTCCATGTCTAGTTGTGACCCATCTCCTAGATGGTCATCAGGGTCTTCCACCCCAAGTTGTGGACATTTAAGCAAACACTGTTGCTTCGCAGACTTGCAACTCTAGGACATTGGATGGGAGAGTTAGGACAGCTGAACCCACCCATGTGCAAAATCTGTCTTCTCTCTTCCCCGTTCCTGAATCTGAACAGGCATTGGCACCGTGCCGGTCGGAAGGGTAGAAACCGGCATCCTGAAGCCGGCCATGGTGGTCACCTTTGCCCCGAGCAACATCACCACAGAGGTGAAGTCCGTAGAGATGCACCACGAAGCCCTGGCAGAGGCGCAGCCCGGGGACAACGTTGGGTTCAATGTGAAGAACGTGTCGGTGAAGGACATCCGCCGTGGGAACGTGGCAGGGGACAGCAAGAATGACCCGCCCATGGAGGCAGGCCGCTTCACCGCCCAGGTAAGCTGGGCAATGGACGCAAGAGGTACCAGCCCTCTTTGCCTGTTCAGATCCTGGTCATGAAATGCTCATCGTCCCATTCTATGCTCGTAAAACCACACGAGAGTGCAGCTACACCGGGGCGGGGTGGGAGGGGGAGTATTTTAATTGAATTGAGCGTGTTTTGAATCAATTGGTTAAAAGGTAACTACACGACACACACGGAAACGCAGATTATTTCGACAGGAAATCATGTTATTTTGATCAGAAGTGAGGTATTTACTCTTCCGCCAGAGGTTTTTTTATTTTAACTCAGATGTCCAATCAACTTAGTTTGAATTGATTCAGCATATGTGAATGCCTCTGTTGGTATAAATTATGTCTGTGGGGTTTGCCACTCGCTGCCATTCCCTCCTTTGCATTTCTGCTCACCTCTCTGGTCAGTTTCAGACCGAGCCTGTGAATGCCTCTGTTGGTATAAATTATGTGTGTGGGGTTTGCCACTCGCTGGCTCTTCCTCCTTTGCATTTCTACTCACCTCTCTGGTCAGTTTCAGACCCAGCTGGAGATTCTCTGTCCCTCTCCTTCTCCACCCCCTGTATGGATGTGGGCCTCTCCCTCCTTCTACAAGCCTAGAAGTGTGGATCCAGGCAAAATATCCCTAATCAATTTCAGTCCCAGGTCCACTGACACCTCTTCACCACCAGCAGCAGTTTTTGACATTTAAAGTTTCTGGGCTTTTAAAAAACAATATATTGCTTGATGAAGAAATATCAAAAGATGAATGAATTTATTTTTCTGCCCTCTCGGTTGACCTAAGGACCTAAGAATTGGAGCCTCGGGATACAGAGCAGGGGGCTGTGAGTTCGATTCCCCCACCATGCCTCCCAGGAGAACAGCCAGCATGCGTAGCCTTGGGCAAGCTGCATAGTCCCAAAGCGCCCCCTAGAGGAAGGGAATGGGAAACAAGTCTGAGTAGTTTACACTCAGAAAATCCTGGGAGGGGTCACTATAAGTTGGAATTGACTCGATGGCCCTCCGTTCGTATTGTTAATAAATGGTTTGTTATGAAACAAAATTTGGAATCCTTTTAATGTCCGATGCATTTGGATTTTGTATGAGAAAACCGCTGCTCTGCTTAGGCAAAAATGGAGCGGGCTGATAAGGCAGGATAACATAGATTTCTGTGTCAGGACATGAATGCAACACGGAACAGCTTATTTTGCCCGTCTAACGACCCCTGCTGCTCCACACAGGTTATTATTTTGAACCACCCAGGAAGGATTCAAGCCGGCTACGCCCCTGTGCTCGACTGCCACACGGCGCACATCGCTTGCAAGTTCGCAGAGCTGGCCGAGAAGATCGACCGCCGGTCTGGCAAGAAGCTGGAGGACCACCCCAAGGAGCTGAAGTCTGGAGATGCAGCCATCGTCCAGATGATTCCCGGCAAACCCATGTGTGTGGAGAGCTTCTCGGACTATCCTCCCCTCGGTAAGGGTTTCTCCCATGTCGACGAGCATCTTCTCTAAGAGAGAAGCTACGTCTGCCTTGTTGGCTTCAGAATGTTGCCTTTTTCATTGAAAGGTCTGGCAAAAAGCTTCATAAAGTTTATGGGAACTTTGGAACTGTGGCACAGATGCCCTGCCACCCAGTGTCTGCTCTCTGGAGTCCTGGGTGCTTCGTAGGCATCCGTTTATAATGCCTGGCCTTCAGAGGATTGTCAGGGCCAAGGCGCTATGAGAAAGTTCCCTAAAAAGTAGATTCCCCTTGTTTTTAGGCAAGCCGTTCCGTGTCACCTCTCTCCATTTTTGGCACTAGGGGGAGTACGTGGGCATTTCATCCACAGTATCTGGGTACTTAATGCCATGGGCTGGGTGCTCTGCTTCTTTTTTCCATAGTGGGAGAGGTTACATGGTGCCCAGCTCAAAGCCAGCTCATTCTAAGTCAATCCTTTTTTTTGTTCTTGGCTCTGGTTTATGCCTTGGGGATTTTAACAGTTTGTCCAGGGAGCCTTGTGGTGCGGTGGTTAAACTGCAGTACTGCAGCCAAAACTCTGCTCATGACTAAGGTTCAGTCCCAGGTAGCCGGCTCAAGCTTGACTCAGCCTTCTATCCTTCTGAGTTTGGTAAAATGAGTGCCTAGCTTGCAGGGGGGGGGCAGGGGGAATGTGTGTAAGCATCCTTCTGTCTCGAGAGACGATGGGAACGTGCTCTGTACAGAGGACTTGGAACAGTGTCTCGTGTGGCTGAGAAGGCCAATCGAGAGTGACCACACTGGAGACAAATACAATCTGTCCCCTGTCCAGCTCCCTGATTTTGCTGCTTTTGGGACTGCCTCTTGGCCTCAGCCTGCTGAACGAGTGTCTCTTCAAAGCGGGAATGGCCAGGCTGCACCACCTGCCTCCAGGCTGACTGCTCAGACATCAAGGTTTCCCATCTCTTGAGGTCCATTCCTAAGGCCTTCAGATCCCGCTGGCAGATCTCCTTGTCTCGCAGCTGTGGTCTCCTCTGGGGCAATTTCCCTGAACGGATTCTCCATACAGGAGATCTTTTGGAATCTGACCGCTAGCCATTCTCACGACATGCCCGAGCCAACGTAGCGGTCCCAGAGAGTGCCTTAAGGGCTATGGGGCAGTATATAAGCAGCATGCTTTTAAAGCCTGCACAGCCCATACTGAGGCTAGAACCACATATGCCTATATACGTGTATGTTGTGAAAAGAACAGAAAGTGCAGGGCTTTACAGAAAATCCATTTTATTTCAGTGGGAGCTATTGCGATTCAAAGTCCACCTTCCTCTGTCACTGGGATGCAAATACATGACCTGTTTATTTGTACCCACCCAACCCCGCAGTCAGAGCTGTGGTGATTCTCATGCCTTTTGAACTGTTCTATACTTAAGGTGAGAAAGTTTCCTACGTGGGGTCTTGCTTCCCCCAACCCAACCTGAAGACTTGAATTCCAGCTTGCACCCTCCTCCACCAGCACCATCCCTGGTTGACTGGAGAGACTGCCTTCTTCTCCCTGCTCTGGAGTCGCTTAACAACACCTCCCTTCTCTCCTTGGCAGGTCGTTTTGCTGTCCGGGACATGAGGCAGACGGTGGCGGTGGGAGTCATCAAGGCCGTTGATAAGAAAGCCAGCGTGGCTGCCAAAGTCACCAAGTCTGCCGTGAAAGCAAGCAAGAAGTAGACGGCAAGCGGGAAAGCTGTTTCCAAGCTCTTGCGTGTCAACGTAGACTCCCGAAGCCACTTGTTTCTGGGAAGTTATATATTGCATTGGCATGCAATCTCCTTTTCCGCCACTTATCTTTACACCCAAAAACATTGCTCTGAGAATCTAATTAAAAAAAAACTAAAGAAGGTGGAAGAAATCTGCATTCACTCAGTCTTGAATATTGAGTCTTGCATCTTTTATCTGTATGCGCATCCACTACTATCATAAAAGAAGGGCTGTGAATAAGATTACACAGCAGGAAAAAAAATGGGAATGGATTTTGCTGTAAAGCTGCACCAGGGAAGTCAAGTTTCCCTGTGTGAGTTCACTTTAGCTGACCACACAGGAATTGGCAGAGAGGAAGAGGAAACTGGCAATCCGACTTGTTTGCAGCTTGTTAAGGTAGCTCTGCTGTGGCAGCCCAGATTTGTAGAAGGCACAGTTATAGCTGAGCTACCTTAAAAATTTCCTCCTCACTCTCTGCTGACTCCTTGCTCTTTTTTTATTCCTTTGGTCTCCAGCTGCCCAGCATGTGCTCTAAGCCTTTAAAAAAAATGGTCTGGTGACGTGGTGCTCAGCTGAGGGGAACTGACACCTGTGCAAGATCCACTTGGCTGCTTCTCCCACGTTCCTTGAACAAGGAAAGTAGGATAGTCTGGGGGGTCTTTTAACATAGGCTCAAGCAATCACATGACTAAACCGATAAGTATGCATGCAACTGGGGGAAAAGTAGAAGCCCCAGTGGCAGAGGGGAAATGGACAGATTAAGGAGGAAAATTCCTGGCTGATTCACATTAACTTATACATCATGTAGTCAATGGAAAATAATATGAATTATTGTTTAATGGAAAATAATATGACCATCCCAGTCCTACAGCACTTCCTGCATTATTTGTCAAACAACTGCCACCAAGGGAGGAAAGAGAGGGAAAGAACACTCAGGAGAGAGGCAGGACTCTCTTTAAATTCAAAGCCTGGAAGGAATGATTGGTTAACACTAAATAGACAGACAGGCAGATAGCCCAGAACAGTCCCTTGCAGTGATACAAACTACTGTACAGGCAGCATGCGAGGTTGCAAATATAACTCCAATATTTTTCCCCTTCTTGTGAGTTTCCTGTCACAGCAAGATGCTTCCTCAAAAGCCATTTGGGGGTATATGGAAAAAGAGGGGCTACCACTGAGAGCTGGGTGGTGGGAACTTACCATCTTCTAATGTAAAAAGCTCAGAAATCACAGGCTCTGGACTTGATCTGGTCCACCTGAGGTTCCCCATCAGACTATATCCCTTTCTGCCACCACTACCCCGTTGTTTGGTGGATTCCCAGCTTTTTAAAGGGATTTTCCCACTTCTAAAAGATTGAACTCCCTATCTGAACATGTAGCCTCCAGACTGAATCTTGACAACACCAATGGCAGCAGTCAAGATGCTCTACAAGCAGTGATTCCCAAACTTCTTTTACTTGTGGCTCCCTTTATTTACCAGCCACAGCTCCCCAGTCCAATAGGACCATCATATCTACGGGATCAGGAGTGCCCATAGTTTCACTTTATCCTAGAGTTGACATTTATGCTAGGAAAAGTGGAAGGCAGTGGGGAAAGAGGATAGTCTAATGTGAGATGGATTCGCTAAATTAAGGAAACCACGGCCCTTAGTTTGCAAGACGTGAGCTGAGCTATTCTTAAGAAGTCCTTTTTGAGAATGTTCGTTCATAGGCTCGCCAACGTTTTTTGGGCTCACCAGAACAGCAACACGCAGGATGATTCGTACGAGCCACCGTGCAGCCTTCCCTCCCGCCACCAGGTGGCAGCAGAGCCACATTCCCAAGAACGTGCGGCCAGCCTTTCTTGCCCGTCCTTGGCTCCAGTCTCTATGATTTTTTGTTCGCGGCCGGCCGCGTAAGTTCCGATTCCGGCGCTCTAGCTCCCTCTTCTACGCCTCCAAGATGGCGGTGAGTAGTCTGTGTTGTGAGGACGGCGCCGGGTGGGTGGTGTTGAATCCGCCCCCATCGGCGGGGCTCGGAGCCCTTTTGGACGGGAGCTTTTGGGGGGCGGGTTGGGAAGACCCGGCGGTTCTTATGGGATGGTTTTGGGGAGCGACGAGGCCGGGACGGCGCCTTTCATGAGGGTCCGGCCCCATGGGTTCGCCCAGCCCTGCCTCTAGGCCGAAGACTCGGGTCTGTAAAGGCAGAGCAACTCTTTCTTTCTCCCCCATTCGCCTCCCGTTCCTTCGCCGTTTGCTCCCCCGGGAAATCGGTGCCCCCCTAACTATGGTTCCTCTTTCTTCCCAGCCCTTCGGGGTGTATTTTTTTTTAACCTGCCTCTTTCATTTGGTGAGCATTGATCTCTTTTTCCACTTCCGCGTGCCCCCCTCCCATTCCTTGCCATTGATTGCAGGGGCTAAGGTTGATGGGACTTGTAGTCCACCAACATCTGGAGGTCCACAAGTCCCCCCCCTTTTGCTGCAGCGTGGTGTCCAACCTTGGCCCTCCACATGTTCTTAGACTACAGCTCCCAGAAGCCTTCACCACCACCTCTGCTGGCCAGGGTTTCTGGGAGTTGAGGTCCAAGAACATCTGGAGGGCCAAGGTTGGGGACCACTAAAAGCTGGAAGGACAGTTGGTGGCAGATGGGACCCAGTGTTTGGGAGGGTTAAGAGCACTGGACTGAGGCTTGTTTGGGGGGGGGGGTCTAGAGATCCCTGCCACCTGACCTGATCTTGGGTCCTATGGTCTCTCTCAGCCTGTTCTACACCAGAGGGTTGTTGTGACAATAAATATAGGGAATAGAGCAGTGGCTCCCGGCCTTGGGTGCCCAGACGTTCTTGGACTGAAATGTCAGCCACTTATGTGACTTGCATGCTCTAGTTTCTGCTCTTGTTAGACTGCCCCACTACATCTGCTGGCCAGGATTTCTGGAGCTTGTAGTCCAAGAACATCCGGGGACCCCAAGAATGGGAACCACTGGTGGAGACGTGCATGTTCTCCCACGGGAGGGAAAGTTAGTATAGGAACAGTCGTGAGAAATGAACAATAGTACTTGGCTATTAGTGTCTGAAGATCTTAGAACCAAGGCTCCAGCCTGTAATCCACAATCTTTCCACATAGAAAGCCAGATGTAATGGATGAATCTAGACTAGAAGCTTTCTAATGGACACGGAGATTAATTTTGTGAATCATGTAGCCCCGTCCTCTAGCTTGAAATGGTGTAGCTGATACCCAGGTTGATCACTTCTGCATGATACCATGACCTTTGTATCGGGATGCTGAGATGAGGGGATGCGTGTGTGCAGCCAGAGCCAGTATAAGAAGCAAGAGATGGGAGAGAAGGCATCCTTCTGCGCATAAGATGATAAGGCATAGTGTTCTGTTTGATGCAATTATTGCTCACTGGCCATGTATTTATAATTACTGCTGCAGAATATCCGTAATTGTCTCACCCCTAAGCAGGTGTGGGAGGGCGCAAGGTGTGGGAGGGTGCAGGTGTGGGAGGGCGTTGGCTGTGGAGGGCAGGCCTGATGGGCATTGTAGTTCACCCCAATCTAGCTGGTTGCACACTCTGCCTTGTAATGGATGTCTAGAGTTTAATCTGACCGGAGAGAGATCTTTCTTATAAACAGCCACATGTGGACGGAGATGTCACAAACTGAATGTAAGACTTTTTGCCTATAAATGGTGTCATCCGCCATTAAACTATATACTTCCTCTACGCTTATTTTGTTTTAAAAGGTAAATCATCTATATTAGGAAATTCAGTCACTTTTACCCCGTCAGAAGTGTACATGGTGGTTTTTGAAAAATCTGAAATCGTCATTGGCTCTGAAGAGCAAGGTGAAATTAATTGTGGATGACAAGTTGTCAATAAGAAAGGAATGTGTTCAAGGATATTTGTTGCATGGGCTTGTTATGTGCTGTCAAGTTACATCCACTGTCTGGCAGACCTAATAGAGTGTGTCAAGTATGCACAATATTAAAGGAGTGGTTGTATCATTGCCACTCCGGTGAGTTTCCATGGCCAAGCAGAGATTTGAAGTCTCCTCGTAAGTTTTCGTCTGCCACTCCATCCACTCCACCACACTGGCTCTCTCCCACATATTAGGTAGCTAGGGAATTGTTCTTCAGACCTCAGTAATCGGCCATGTATTAGAAGGCTAAATTACAGTTATTCCCTTTTCGCTCAACTTTGTTGCTCTTTGCTGTTGCCCATTAGAGGTTACTTTATAACTGTGGGTCAAAGCAGTGTGTTAAAGCTTTATTTCGGATGGCACCAACAACTTAAGAGGGTAAAAAAAGTCTGTAAAATGGAGACATGAGAAGATAGAAGCCACTATATCAATTTGCTTCACATGGTGCAGCAAGAGGTAAGGTATTAAAGGGTTCGCATTGACACAGAGACAGGCAGGAGATGGAGGAAGTGCCCCAAAGAACGAAAGGCTTTTGTTGGTGAATTTTGAGCAGGCAGTTGAAATAATTCTTTCACCCTCCTTGCTTGTTATTGTTAAAGAAGAGGTGAGCCATCTCCTGGCCCAGCCTCAGATGGTGATGATGCTCCTCCTTTCATGTTATGTGGGGAGGAAGTCTGGCTGCCCTCTGCTTTAATGGCGGTTTCTTTCCCTGTTGTGTAGCAACAAGACCAGGGTGAGAAGGAGAACCCCATGCGGGAGCTGCGCATCCGCAAACTCTGCCTGAACATCTGCGTCGGGGAGAGTGGAGACAGGCTCACCCGAGCAGCCAAAGTGCTGGAGCAGCTCACCGGCCAGACTCCTGTGTTCTCCAAAGGTGAGCCTGCCGGAAGGCCGTCGCTAAGCCAGAAGTTGGGAATTTTCTGTGTGCTCTTCTCTTGCTGGAGAAAAGTTCTGCCTCTGGACAGCATGCAGGTCAACAGTTCCAGTGTGATTTAAGAGGGTTCCATAGAGTAAATGGCATTTGCCGTCATTATTTAGCCACAAAGAAGTATGCAGTCCTACTCGTGTCCTCCGGGACTTCCTGTGGGCGACCTTTTGGCTGTTGTTTGAACAGAAGAATGTTGGACCTGTCAGGCCTTTGGTCCAACCCAGCCCGCTTCTTCTTGCTGATAATAATCTTAGAACAGCGGAGCTGGAAGGGACCCTGTAGATCTTTGAGCCTACCCCTATCAAGGGGGCCCAGCGGGGAATTGAACCCCCAGCCTCTGGCTTTACAGTCAGAGACTTTTGAGCCTACCCCTATCAAGGGGGCCCAGTGGGGAATTTACAGTCAGAGACCTAAACCACGGAGTTCTCCAGCAGTTCTTAGGTGAACCTTTTCTTCTTGCTCCCTGTAGGCGTCCTAGTTGTGTTTCTTTAGGACTTAATAAATGCACAGTAAGAAGGAAGGATGGCTGGGGCAAAAATGGAAGGAACAGTGTTTGGCCCTTGGCGTGGCAAGTCAGGGAAGAGTAGCAGGGCCTACAGTTCTACAAACTGGATTTATGTTGAAACTGAACCCGTATTATAATAAAGAAACGCTCCTTTTTATGCCCAGCGTCTACTCTGTCACAGGATGCTGGAATCTAATGGTGGATGCTTAGTAAAACCAATCAACCAGTCATCTCAATTGTTATACATTTGTCAACTAGGAAAGCTAGATCATTTTTAAAAAGTAAGAGTTGGGTTTGAGTCACTCTATGGAAATTATCAAGACTTAAAACTGTTATATGAGGACTCCAACAATAGCCATTTTGGTTTGGAGTTTACCTCTGGAATCTATTTCCATTTTAGCAGTAATGCATGCTCTAATCTCATCTGACTTGCTTTGCTGTTCCAATCGCATAGTGGCTCTTTCCAAGATGCCATTATTCCTATAATGCAGATGTTGTCGACTGGATATTTTTTCTGCAACTGTGCTTTTCCTCCCTTCAGTATGAAATAGCGCAGAAATGGGAAAGCTGCTTCTTGGGAGTGCTTTTCCTCCCTTCAGTATGAAATAGCGCAGAAATGGGAAAGCTTCTTGGGTTTGTCCAGAATACCCAGGATGACTCCATTCAAGGAGTTGTCAAAGTCCTCGTGTATTCCAGATTTTTAAAAGTGATTTTCCCATCTATGTGTCAAATGTTCTGCTGTTTGCGATCTTCCGTTCAAAGCAGCTCACTCTAGATTTGTTCTGCAGCTCGATACACGGTCAGATCATTTGGGATCAGGAGAAATGAGAAGATTGCCGTTCACTGCACCGTACGTGGGGCCAAAGCTGAGGAGATCTTGGAGAAAGGGTTGAAGGTGAGCCGTTCGCGTTCCGTTTGAATTAACTCCAGACTGAACTTGGTGTATGGAAATAGAAAGGAGCCAGAGTTTAAAATGAATCTCTGTGTTTCAGGTGCGGGAATATGAGCTGAGAAAGAATAACTTCTCCGACACGGGCAACTTTGGCTTTGGAATCCAGGAGCACATTGATTTGGGAATAAAATACGACCCCAGCATTGGTATCTACGGCTTGGACTTTTATGTGGTTAGTATTCTTAACATACCTTTCTGCGTTTTGAAGAGTTTGCAGCAAGAACCCCCCATGACTGCAGGATCAGTATCCACAGTTTCACTTATTCACAGTCTGAAAATATTAAATGGCATCCACTCCTCCGAAATATATATTTATACCTGTCGCCACAATGTAGCTACCGGAACCAGCTGCTACAGGGAGCTAGCTATGTATAGGTTCACTAATATCCGTGGTTTTCGGCATCTGCAGAGGGGGGTTGGAACTGCTCCCCGTGGATACCGCAGTTACTCTTTTCCAAAAATTTTGTCATGTTAAGGGTTTTTGTCTCCGTAAAACTGCCAACTCTGGGTCTTGCTGCAACAGACATCAAATCGATGTTAAAATGTTGTAGCAGGTGAACAGTGGCAGCGTTAGGCACTTTCAATTTAACTGCTGAAAAGCATCTCTAGCAGGATGGGACTAAGTAAGGTTGTCATGTGCTGGATCTGTAGAACGATGAGGGAGTTGTCGTATCTGCTGTTTAGCCCCATCTCAGTCTTGTAACTTCTACAGAGCAGGATTTGCTTTAATTCCGTTAAATATCGGGTTTATTCTCCCAGTAACATACTGTTGTTTCACTGATGTATCCAGCTATGCTTGCCCATTATGCTATCTGATGTTTTTGGGCGAGAATGAATTCAGTCTTTTAGGTACATGTGACAGGCTGCCTATGAAGATTGACAAGGGAAAGCTGTAAAGTGTCTAATATGTTGAAAGTAATGGTTGGAATAACTGCCAATAATCTTTCATTTGCAACAGTAAGTGGAAGCCTGTCAGTTATAGAATAGCTGGATGTGCGTCTGCTTTAATTCTTCCAGCCTTCAAAATGTTGGAGAATGAGGTTGACACAGTGAGACCGACACATATTCAGTGAAGCACTGCTAGAATAATTATTGAGATATTTTTAGTTGGTTAGCTATTGGTTTCCTGGCTCTGTGTGTGTGTGTGTGTGTTTAAATACAGTCAGGTCTTTTGAGGCCAGTTAGACAGAAGGTGGATTTTGTCTGCAGACTTAAAAAAAAAAATAGCATGTGAATTTGTCCCTGGCCAGTCTAGCTCACGGCTCTCTTGCCAGCCTACTCATTCAGTTGATCTGTCGATATTTTATGGCACTCTTCCTCTGAGGAGTTTGGAGGAGCGTGTTCGCTTTGCAGTAATCCTCAGGGGCAGATTAGTCTGAGAGAATAACTGGTGAAAGATCACTTGGATCTGAGTTGCCAACAAGATTCCTAAATGTGGAGCTGTCTGGCTTCTCAATGGAACACTTGTGACAGGGCTGGCTGAGAAGCAATGAGATCTACCATTGCCACTAGATCAAAGTGCCCCACACCTCAGGTACAGTGGTGCCTCGCTTAACTATTACCTTGTTAAACGACAATCTGCTTGACGATGAGGTTTTTGCGATCGCAAAACGATGTTTCAATGGACGATTTTCGTTTAACGATAATTGGTTTTCTGCTTCGGGAACCGATTCTTTGCATTACGACAATCTGAAAACGAGATCTACCATTGCCACTAGATCAAAGTGTCCCACACCTCATGTATAGTGCCTCGCTTAACGATTACCTTGTTAAACGACAATCTGCTTGACGATGAGGTTTTTGCGATCGCAAAACGATGTTTCAATGGACGATTTTCGTTTAACGATAATTGGTTTTCTGCTTCGGGAACCGATTCTTTGCATTACGACAATCTGAAAACAGCTGATCGTCAGGTTTCAAAATGGCCACCCACTGTGCAAAATGGCTCCTCGCTATGATTAGGACAGATTTTTCCCTTAACAGGCACTGGAAAATGGCCTCCCTATGGAGGATCTTCACTGTACAATTAGGTATTTAGCCTATTGGAACGCATTGAGCGGTTTTCAATGCCTTTCAATGGGTTTTTCCATCGTCAGGTTTCAAAATGGCCGCCCACTGTGCGGATTAACGTCAGATTAACGTCATCAAGCGAGGCATCACTGTATTAGCTTCTCTTTAGGATCTGAGAGACTCTGAAATATGGGGATCTGTCTCAAAAGTTTCCCTAAAGTTAGCTTTCAGAAGTCAAGATTGGCTTTGTGTTTCTGCTGCAGGTTCTGGGCAGACCCGGCTTCAGCATTGCCGACAAGAAGCGCCGAACTGGCAGCATCGGGGCCAAGCACCGAATCAGCAAGGAGGAAGCCATGCGCTGGTTTCAGCAGAAGGTAAGCCCCATTACCATTTTGAGCTGTTCACGTACTTGCAAAAGCACTTTGTTGAGATGGCGGGCATCTCTTGAACGGTTTCAGTCTGTCATACCTGACAGGCGATAGCCCCCTGTCGTGTCCAGTGATGCAAAGATCAGTCAGTGCCATCTTTTTAACCAAGTGAAAACTCCAGAAAATTGTTCTTAGCTGAGGTTCTCCTTGGTTGGCGCAAATTTGGAAGGAGCTACATTGCATTGTTAGTGTTAACCAATCCTAGTCTAATGGATCTTGGCTAGAGATGGGCACCGACCGGTTAGTCCCAGTTTTTCCTGGTTCGTAAAAGCAGCAGCATAGATGCTGCTGTTCCCCTCCCCTCCTATCTTGGCTAGAGATGGGCACCGACCGGTTCGTCCCAGTTTTTCCTGGTCCCCTCCTTCCTCAGCTGATTGAGCCCCTCACCAAGCCCAGCTTGCTTGCTTGCTTTTTCCACGTCTTTGACTAATCTCCCAGTCACAAGCAAGAATACAGGCTTCTCTTTGGTCGGAGTGGGAGATCAGCCAAGAGGGCTGGGCAGAGAAGCCTGAGCTGTTGCCGGGACTGGAAGACCAGTTGAAGGTCAGGGAGGCTGGGCCTGAGGAGCGGCTAATTGAGCCAGAGGAGGCGGGAGAGGGGAGGAGCACCAGTGCTAACTGGAAGACCAGTTGAAGGTCAGGGAGGCTGGGCCTGAGGAGCGGCTAATTGAGCCAGAGGAGGCGGGAGAGGGGAGGAGCACCAGTGCTACCAACTTGACAAACTGGGACAAGCAGTGCCCATGTCGGGAGGCTGGGCCTGAGGAGCGGCTAATTGAGCCAGAGGAGGCGGGAGAGGGGAGGAGCACCAGTGCTACCAACTTGACAAACTGGGACAAGCAGGTTCGTGCCCATCTCTGATCTTAACACTGGTGGGGAAGCTTCTCATCTTCCAGATGGACTATATTTCTTACAACCTTCAACTATTGGCCCTGCCTGATGAAGTAGGCCTTCTAACAACCCCTGGAAGATCGTTGATTGCCTCTCCCCAGCGGATTAAACAATGTCAAAGATGTGCATATGCTTTTGCAGTGTGGCTTGGGGTTCCTTTTGGATCTCATTTCATGTAGTTCTTAGGGAGGTGTCATGAAACCAGCATGGAATAGTTAACTTTCAAGCTCCCAGTCATTCTAGCTGGAAGAATCTGGGACCCGTAGTCCAAAAACGTAACTTTTCCCAAGTGCTACGTGACTTGCAAAGCAAAGTGGCATTTCAAATGCCCTTCAACATAGTAAGCACGTTCACTAAGCAGAATGTATCCCCTCCTTGTTTCTAACAGTCTTGCTGCCTAAGCAGGCTTTCAGTGACATGGTCCCCAACCATGGTCCTCCAGATGTTCTTGGACTTAAACTCCCAGAAACCCTGGCCAGCAGAGGTGGTGGTGAAGGCTTCTGGGAGTTGTAGGCCAAGAACATCTGGAGGCCCAAGGTTGGGGACCTTTTTGCAAGTAAACACTGCCTTCCTAACAACCAAGTCTCACACAGAAATGATTTAATAATTAGGCTAGCTGTTTTCTGCCCCAAATTATTAAATACTGTGAGCCTATTTATAAGATTGCTCATTGAACCGTGTTGTGTCACAGGTGTGTAAAAAATATCTGATAGAAATAAAGTGCCTTAAGGAAGCTCTCATGCTTATCTCTGATTCCTTTCTTCTCTTGCAGTATGACGGCATCATTCTTCCTGGTAAATGAACTGCATCCAGTATGGAAAAAAGCTAATAAATTTTTCACTGTTGGATATTTCGCACTGGTTTCATCCTTTACTGTACCCCTATCTTTCTGAAGTTGCTAGACTCGTAGATCGAGATCTGTGGTTTTTTTCCCCCTTAGTTGTGCATTATTTTTCAACTCAACGTCAAGTTTGATATCTGCGTTGAGTAAGAGGCTTTCAGATCCATTAAATCCAGGATCAATCGATCAGTCCATCTGTCTATCTGGCTGTCTATCTGCAGGGCAATGTTTGTTAATTATTAATGGACATTTGTCACTTTTTTCTTTAAAGTAAACAGCCTCAGTCGTGCCTGAGAACAGCAGGACTCTATGGGAGCTGCCATGATTCATGGGATGGAGAGTTCTTCGAGAGGCATCCTCAGTAATGTGTCTCCTGGCCAGCAAGACTACCCATTCCATGAATCACTGTGGCTCCCATGGGGCCTTGGCTTTCCC